GGGTGTACTCACTTCTGTGAGTACACCCCTCACATTTTGTAAATATTTTATTATATCTTTTCATGTGACAACCCTGAAGAAATGACACTTTGCTACAATGTAAAGTAGTGAGTATACAGCTTGTATAACAGTGTAAATTTGCTGTCCCTTCAAAATAACTCAACACACAGCCATTAATGTCTAAACCGCTGGCAACAAAAGTGAGTACACCCCTAAGTGAAACTGTCCAAATTGGACATTATTAGCCATTTTCCTTCCCCGGTGTCATGTGACTCGTTAGTGTTACAAGGTCTCAGGTGTGAATGGGGAGCAGGTGTGTTAAATTTGGTGTTATCGCTCTCACTCTCTCAAACTGGTCACTGGAAGTTCAACATGGCACCTCATGGCAAAGAACTCTCTGAGGATCTGAAAAAAAAAATTGTTGCTCTACATAAAGATGGCCTAGGCTATAAGAAGATTGCTGAGACTCTGAAACTGAGCTGCAGCACGGTGGCCAAGACCATACAGCAGTTTAACAGGGCAGGTTCCACTCAGAACAGGTCTCGCCATGGTCGACCAAAGAAGTTGAGTGCACGTGCTCAGCATCATATCCAGAGGCTGGCTTTGGGAAATAGACGTATGAGTGCTGCCAGCATTGCTGCAGAGGTTGAAGGGGTGGTGGGTCAGCCTGTCAGTGCTCAGACCATACGCCGCACACTGCATCAAATTGGTCTGCAGGGTTGTCGTCCCAAAGGGAAGCCTCTTCTAAAGATGATGCACAAGAAAGCCCGCAAACAATTTGCTGAAAACAAGCAGACTAAGGACATGGATTAGTGGAACCATGTCCTGTGGTCTGATGAGACCAAGAAAAACTTATTTAGTTCAGATGGTGTCAAGCGTGTGTGGCGACAACCAGATGAGGAGTACTAAGACACGTGTGTCTTGCCTACAGTCAAGCGTGTTGGTGGGAGTGTCATGGTCTGGGGCTGCATGAGTGCTGCCGGCACTGGGGAGCTACAGTTCATTGAGGGAACCATGAATGCCAACATGTACTGTGACTTACTGAAGCAGAGCATGATCCCCTCCTTCAGAGACTGGGCCGCAGGGCAGTATTCCAACATGATAACGACCCCAAACACACCTCCAGGACGACCACTGCCTTGCTAAAGAAGCTGAGGGTAAAGGTGATGGACTGGCCAAGCATGTCTCCGGACCTAAACCCTATCGAGCATCTGTGGGGCATCCTGAAATGGAAGGTGGAGGAGCGCAAGGTCTCTAACATCCACCAGCTCCGTGATGTCGTCATGGAGGAGTGGAAGAGGACTCCCGTGGCAACCTGTGAAGCTCTGGTGAACTCCATGCCCAAGAGGGTTAAGGCAGTGCTGGAAAATAATGGTGGCCACACAAAATATTGACACTTTGGGCCCAATTTGGACAGTTTCACTTAGGGGTGTACTCACTTTTGTTGCCAGCGGTTTAGACATTAATGGCTGTGTGTTGAGGGGACAGCAAATTTACACTGTTATACAAGCTGTATACTCACTACTTTACATTGTAGCAAAGTGTCATTTCTTCAGGGTTGTCACATGAAAAGATATAATATTTACAAAAGGTGAGGTGTGTACTCACTTCTTGATATACTGTATATTATGTGTGCAAATACTGGGAAGTGTTCATAAGTCAGCACAGTGGAATTGATTCCAATTGTTATAAGGAACAATCTGTAACTCTCACCATCCCAGGCCATTGACGATGCTGGCTGGGACTGGTGAGAGTCACGCGTTCCCCACTCCTGGTCTCCATATGGAGATTCAGGCTGCTTGTGCTATGTTTTCACCCTGGTAAGAGGGATCAGTGAGATGAAGTGGCTCTTTGAGCTTTCCCTGTTTATACCATCACATTGGTATAAACAGATGCCATCCTATGAATGTTGTTTGCATAGCAAGTAAGACAGAAACCTGGTACACATGACTGGACACCCCTTTGTTGAAAACAAGCCATGGTGGATTAGCACGTCATCCAAACCCAGACCTCTTCCACAGGATGGCTTATTTTTTGGCAACAAGCAACTCTGAGGATCCACGGCTTGCCATAGAGGTTGTATATACCACCATTCTGTCATCCGAAAGCAGCATTTTGGAGTGGCTCTAACTGGTTTACAACTGTGGCAGTGAGTGCTCTGAAAAGTAGTCATGAAAACTTGGGGCAGTTAATATTTCCCCTTTCTGGAGTAACTGGAGACCTGAGGAAGTGCTGAAAAGGCGGGAGGGAAATGTGAAGTGTTCAACACTTAAGATTGAGAGGATTACTTTGCTAAAAGGGAGATGCTGCCCTCCCGTGCTTCATGGTAGAAACATAGAAACAGAGCGAGTCAGAAGGGGTCTCCTGGGCCATCTAGTCTGACCCCTGGCTCCAGCTGGCTCCACTCACGACATGCCCATCATGTGCATGTCCAGCCTATCCTTGAACACCCACACCGATGGGGCCTCAGTGACCTCTCGTGGAAGCCCATTCTACACCCTCAGAGTCCTAACTGTCAGGAAGTGCTTCCTGGCATCCAAATGGAACCTTGGCTCCCTGAGCTTTGCTCCGTTGGAGCGCATCCTGCCTTCCTCTGCAGGAGAGAACAGGTCTCTACCCCTCTCCGTGTGACATCCCCTCACATACCTGTATGGCGCTAACATATCCCCTCTGAGTCTCCTCTTCTCCAGGCTGAAGAGACCCAGTTCCCTCAGTCTCGCCTCATACCCCATCTCCTGCAAATCGGCCACCAACCTTGTGGCCCTACGCTGCACTGACTCTAACCTGGCTATATCCTTTCTGTAATGAGGGGCCCAAAACTGAGCACGGTACTCCAGTTGCGGGTGCACCAGAGTCGTATAGAGTGGTAGTAATACCTCTCTTGATCTAGAAGCCACACTTCTGGCTATGCAACCAAGGGTGGCATTTGCCCTCTTGACCACCACATCACACTGCTGACTCATGTTTAGCCTGCAGTCAACCAGTACCCTGAATCCCTTTCACAAGTGCTGCTCTCCAGCCACTTGTCACCTAACCTGTACTAATGACACCTATTCCTATGCCCCAAGTGCAAGACCTTGCACTTATCCACATTGAACGCCATCCTGTTGTCTCCTGCCCACTTCCATAGTCTATCCAGATCCTTTTGGATCTGGAGGACCTGCTCCTCAGTTGTGGCCACTGCTCCAGTTTTAGTACCGTCTGCAAATTTGATCAGCAGACTGTTCACCCCTTCTTCCTTGTCATTTATGAAAAGATTAAACAGGATCAGCCCCAAGACATTGCCCTGGGGGACCCCGCTTGTCACTGGTCGCCATCCCGATGATTCCCCACTAATGGTTACCCTCTGCTTTCGGTCAGTCAACCATGCCCTAATCCACCGGACAGTGCTTTGGTGTATCCCAAAACTCCTCAGTTTCTCCACCAGGATATCATGGGGCACTTTGTCAAAGGCCTTGCTGAAATCCAGGTATACCACATCCGCTGCATGGTACATCTTCTTCTGCCCTTTACCAGTGTCTTTCAACTGATAACTGGCAATTGCACACAAATTAACTTAAATGCAGCCTTGCCTTGTCAGTTTTGATGTGTGTTATGTGCTGTACTCCCTTTGACAGCTGAAGTATATAAGAAGGTTGACCAGGCAAGACTGCATAAGAGGGGCATAAGAACGCACTTGTGTGAAAGGCCGTAATAACCAACCATCACCACCACCAGCCCCACAAATGTAGTTTAACCATTTGGGAGGGCAACTGTAAAAAATCAAAAGCAGCCCCAACTACATGTTTTTGAATCTGTGGAAAAACAGAACAGAAAATGGCAGTGAACCACAAGTGGTAGTGATCAGAGTAGAAAGGAGCAGACAGGAGAAATTCTGCTGCAGAGACACTGGGTAGCCAGCTGTAGGACTGAGAGAGAAAAGCAGGGAGAACAAGCCATAGAGAGTGTGATTATCTTTAAGGCGTAATGTAGGTTGATCCTTGAAGGACCTATATTGTGTAGCTTACTCAGGGAGTGTGAAACAAAGCCCTATGAGGAGAAACTAAAAGAGCTGTGCAATGATGGGCATAAGTTACAGGAAGCCAGATTCTGGCTGGACATCAGGAGAAGCTTCCTGTTAGAGCAATAGGACAATTACCCCGGGAGGTAGTGGGCTCCCCCACAAGAGGCAGTTGGACAGCCATCTGTCAGGGATGCTTTAATTTGGCATCCTGTATTGAGCAGGGTTTGGACTCATTGGTCTTGTAGATCCCTTCCAACTTTACACTTCTAGGATTCTGTGAAACAGAGTTGGTTGGCAGGACATGTGATCCACTCAGAGCCATGAATCTCTGGCCTTTCCCCTGGTTAGCTGCTTGAAAGCTTCTTTTTTCCCCATTTACATTGATCTGGTTCATATGTCATAGCAGCAGGTCACAAGTTCATTAAGCACAGACTTACCTGCTTTTGTGCTTCACACGAGCCGCTTCTACTGTGCCTAAGCAACCTCTGGGTGGATGCTGTTGTCTGTGGTCTAAGCCCAGATGCATTGACATAGTGCTCATAACATGATATGTTGGGCTATCCTGTTGTCTGAACCCAGACAAGATAGATTCTGTTGCAAAGCATGCTGAATGGAGGACTGAGCAGGAGAACAAGCTGTAATAGTACAGCTGTCTTTTGGGCATACTGTGGGTTGTTCCATGGACAACTCACGACTCTGCATTTGTCTGCAGTGCAGCTTAGTGAGTTACAAGAACCCACCTTATGGGTTGCTTGTGGATTAAGCAACCCAGTGCCAAGCGAAGAGCTAATCATTTATTTATTTGGGGTATTTCTAACCCATCCAATTACTGTATGTCTCTGGATGGCTTACAATAATCATCCAATAAATACAACATAATAAGATCATCATCATCATCACCCATCATAATTATACTAATAGCCCATGGCTGCAATAAAAACATAATTAAAATATTTAAACTTTAAAATACTGGGTAAATAACAAGGTCATGACCTGGTGCCAGTAAGCATATAATGTCGGTGCCAGGCGGACCTCTCTGGGGAGTGCATTCCATAGCCGGGGCGCCACTGCAGAGAAAGCCCTTCTCCGTGTGTTCTCTCTCCTAACCTCCTTCAAGGAGGATTCCCGGAGCAGGGCCTCTGCTGCAGATCTTATGGGGTGGGAGGGCATATAGGGAAAAAGATGGTCCTTCAGGCATCCTGGTCCCAAGCCGTTTATCATAGGGCTTGTTTGTAATCATAGGGCGGATGGGCAGTTGACTGTGCAAAGCAACATTGACTCACATGTGGTACACGACCTGGCAAGTTATTGGTTAATTTGCCACCATTACATGCAAGCAGCATCATTTGTACTCATTTTTCCAAGGTTTACAGAATATTCTGGATTCATTAGTTTCCTGGTGAGGACTTGGGTTGTCTCTCTTATGGGACTGCAAGTTTTGAGGATGGACAGTGGAGTGCCTGCTCTGTATGTTGAAGGCCCCAGGTTCATCCCCTGGCAGCATGTCTATTCAAAAGGTTCAGATAATGTGCGATCGGTAAAGACTCTTCTCTCTGAAAGTCACTTGGAGGCAGCTGCATTGAACCAGCTAGATGGACAGATAAACTGGTCCAGTTGAGGCTTTGTTGCAAAGCACCACACTGGTTTGCACGCATTGCTTCAGTTGGAAGACTGGCCAGGGGGCTGAAAGTTAAAGGACCATTTCTTCAAGGTGTGGGTTGAGGCTGTTTTACTTCTAGCGATTACTATAATATAAAGTAAAAAAAGGAAGCATCGACATTGTCATTTTCCTCTAAATGTGAGGGGTAGCATTAACTTGTATTGCCTCATGTTGAGTATTGCCGAGGTTTTGATTGAGGCCTTTGAATTGCGGTGCTGGAGGAGACTCCTGCGAGTCCCTTGGACCGCAAGGCGATCAAACCAGTCAGTCGTAGAGGAGATCAACCCTGACTGCTCTTTAGAAGGCCAGATGCTGAAGATGGAACTCAAATGCTTTGGCCACCTAATGACTCACTGGAAAAGACCCTGATGCTGGGAACAATTGAAGACAAAAGGAGAAGGGGGTGGCAGAGGTTGAGGTGGCTAGATGGGGGTCACTGGGGCGGGTGGTGGGGGCTTGGGTGGACTCCGAGGGATGGTGGAGGACAAGAGAGCCTGGAGGAATGTTATCCATGGGGTCGTGAAGGGTTGGACATGACTTAGCGACTAAACAAAAAAAATAGTACTGTAAGGTGGTTGTTGTTGTTAGTCGCAAAGTCATGTCCGATCCATCGCGACCTCATGGACAACATTCCTCCAGGCCTTCCTGTCCTCCACCATCTCCCAGAGTCCACTTAAGCTCACGCCGGCTGCTTCAGTGACTCCATCCAGCCACCTCATTCTCTGCTGTCCCCTTCTTCTTTTGCCATCTATTGTTCCCAGCATTAGGCTCTTCTCCAGGGAGTCCTTCCTTCTCATTAGGTGGCCAAAGTATTTGAGTTCCATCTTCAGCATCTGGCCTTCTAAAGAGCAGTCAGGGTTGATCTCCTCTAGGACTGACCGGGTTGATCGCCTTGCAGTCCAGGGGACCCACAGGAGTCTTCTGTAGCACCACAATTGAAAGGCCTCAATTCTTTGGCGCTCAGCCTTCCTTATGGTCCAGATTTCACAACCATACATTGCAACTGGGAAAACCATAGCCTTGACTATACACACTTTTATTGGCAGGGTGATGTCTCTGCTTTTTAATATGCTGCCTAGATTTGCCATAGCTTTCCTCCGAAAGAGCAAGCGCCTTTTAATTTCTCGGCTGCAGTCATCCGGCAATTGTAATCCCTACTTGTGATTCATCTAGCCTGGCCTTTTGCATGATGTACACTGCATATAAGTTAAATAGGCAGAGTAACAATATACAGCCTTGCAGACTGTTCACATGGGTAGATGGGAAGTGACTAAGGTGCTGTGCAGCGTGACTGCCCATAAGCCTCTGAACCCAGATGATTATGGGCATCCAGTTGAATGCAGGAGGAGTGAAAGGCATGAATTACTTCTGCAGTTCTCCCTCCTGGACACTATTGGCCATCTCTGCCCCAGTTCATTCATCCCCTTTCCTGCTGGAAGTGGCTCTGCAATTACACTTCCCACTTCCAGGTATAGAAAGATCTATGCCAGTTTTGGGGCCAGAGGGAAGGCACGCCGCACTCAAAGTCCCAGTTTCAACTCCAAAATGCATTTCTGAAGTCAGATCTGGGACCTGCTATTCCGTGGTTGCCTAGACAGCCAAAGGATTGCTCCTGAATCGGTTATAAAAATATGTTCTAGCTTTATACTTTTTGTTTCTTTGTACTGCTTTGAACTGTTTCCACCCGTTTCTTGGTATGTAGCAAGCCAGTGAGTACCTAAAAATGGTTATTGAAGGAGATTCTTATTTCTGTTGTTCTCAATCCTTCTGTTCTGAAAAATAATTCTCCTTTGTGTTTTCTAACTTGCCTTTCTATTTATGAGTTAAAGAAAGAAAAAAAAACTCAATTTGCTTTTGTCATTTCAGGACATCTGCATACTAAAGGAAGTGAAAAAATGTCAAAATCTCTCAAAAACTACATTACAATTAAGGTATTCTGAACCAGCCTGTGTGTTTCATTTTATACTTGAATCCTTCTTGGCAAATTCCATCAGTGTGGGAATTTTTTGACACAAAATTCCTAAAAGGAAAAAGCTACTGATGATCAGTGGTAAAGGTGAAGGGACATCTGAAGCCTGGAATTACTTGTTTAAGGATTGTATCTAATGGTGTCAGACCACCAGAACAGACGTCTCTCCTGCGTGCAGTCCTTCAAGTACTCCCTTCCCCTTTTCTGCTCTGCAGATGCGTCAGAGCAGCTTTGGAGGGTACATGGAGTGGTTGGGCAGTGTGGTGAAAGGGGAGTCTCACCCCTGCACCTTTGGAGAGGACCCTTGTAGGTAAACACTGCAGTTCTATGCATGACTACTCAAAACTAAGTCCTCTTACTGTCAGAAGAACCTAACTCCAAGGTACCAACATATGGGATTCAGCCTCAGTACTGATAAGCATTGCCATTCACCAGCTCTGCACTTTGACTGCATTGGCAGATAAATTCTGTTTAATGTGGCAAGGCAGAGGATTGGTTGTAAGGAACACAGAGCTGAATCATGTTCTGTTTGTTTACTGTAGTTGTATCTTCCTCTTTGAGCTAGCAGCTTACGCCAAAATACATGAAGTTAATCTATTGTAATCACAACTCCCTTCTCTCTGAAGCCTTCAGCTCACTGGACTTCATAAAGTTATTGTTGTTTCTTAACAGCAAAAACCCTGCTCTTATTCCTAAGCAGATATGCTCCTCCTCACTCTGCCCCTGGTTAATCCTTGCAACACTCTTGTGCAATATGATGTAGCAGGATCTTAAACAAAGGTATTCAGTATTATATCCCATGACTTTTGGGGGTTCCAGCTGAAGGCTGTAGCAGGAGTTTATGTCGCTAAATACACAGGCCAAGGGATCTCAATATGACACCCACAGGGACCTCCACAGGTGCTTGTGAAGCACACCATTCTCTGACTCCCTTAAAAAGTTGGTTTAAAAAATAAACTTGGAAAATGTCAGGGCAGCAGGCTTTCCTTTCTGTTCTTAAACATTCTGCTAATCAACTGTTTGGTGAGCAAGAAAGAGTTGCCTCCTACCGAGCAGTCTTCCATCCACACAGAATCTTTGCGCAAAGTAGGCGCTCTCTCTTCTCCAACACTAGCCTCCCCGAGACCCTGTGTCTGCTTCCATCCTTCCTTTTCCTCTGCTTGCATTCAGGTTCCTAAGTGGATTATTCTGTTTCGACTAGGCAGACCTCGTGGCACCCATTCCATGACTAGCCACATCCTCTGGGAGAGCAGTCTCTTTCTGATGCTGCCCCCCACCCACCAGGCTGTGCCGCTGAGTGAAACATGCGCAGGAGTGCTCTGTTTGTGTAACAGCGGCTGACTCGTTCCGTGGCTGCGCAGGAGTTGGGCTGGGGCTCTGTGAGAGCCCACGTCCATCACTATCTCCCCAGGAAGAGCAAGCGGCAGTACTTGCATGCATTTCGAATAGGGCGTAAGGATGTGCTTCTGTGTTGAGCACTTGCTGTGCATCTTTCAAGCCTTGCTGGATGCATTGCTTTGTATGGTTACCGACTACAACCTTTTATAGCCATCAACTCATTCCTGAGGGTGGGTTTCAGTCCACCGAGTCAGACTTCCTCTTGTCTGGTCATGAGAAAGCTGTGCACGGAGGTCCTTCCTGAAAAACCTGCAGCCTTGACTGCCTCCGTTTTGTCTCCATGCATGTAAAAGTGGGAGATTCCAAATGCCCAATGAGGCATGCTTTCTCCCCTCTGGAGTCACGCTGAATAGCCTTGGTCAAGCTGTGCTCGCTGTTTGGTTCTTCCTTTCTAATTCTCGCTTCCCAGTTTGGTTTAAGTTGTGCAGAGTATGCTGTTAATGCAGATCCACCCACACGTCTTGCCTGAAAGCCAGAGCACAAACAGAATATTTTATTGAAAGGAACGAGTACAGAAGAAGCAGGAAGTTTAATTTCTAGAAAACTAAACTCGTATTTTCACCCAGCTGAAAAACCAGGCAAATACATACCATGTGTTCCAATCATTACCTCAATTTGCTTGAACTTGCTCTCTGAGTTTCCATAGAATTTGGATTTTATTTTTACTTTTGTAAAGTGTTAGTTGTGCTGGGAGGAAAGGTGAGAAGCAATAGAAGTATATAGCTGAGGGAAAGTAGCTGTTTCATCCCTGAACAAAAGTTTCATCCCTGAACTTGGGGCACTTTGCAGCTTCTGTATGGAAATGTTTCTGCAGCTATGCAAACTACAAGCTTGCTGTGCTCACTTTTAAATGAAAGCTCAAAATTCCCCATATAGTTCTATGCCTTAATTATAGGTGTATAATAGCAGAGGGACTGGAGCTTTGAGGAGTGTGGGAATTTTGTGGGTTAAAAAAGTTCTTCTCATTGAAAGCTAGAAGTCCTGCCTTAAACCACATGTAATTGCAAAGCTGGATAGTGAAATTCTCTATCCATCTATATTGCGATTTATATCCTGCCTTTTTCCTACAAAGGGCTCAAGGCAGCTTACATCATCTCTCCTCCTCCATCTTATCCCCACAACAACAACAATCCTGTGAGGTAAGTTGGTCTGAGAGTCTGTGACTGGCCCAAAGTCACCCAGTTGGCTCCATGGCTGAGCGGGGACTAGAACCCAGATCCTCTGTGTCCCAATCCCATGCTCTTAACCACTACGCCACACTGGCTCTCTATGGAGATTCCAGTTTGCTTCTACACTGGAAAACTGGAAAGCTACTATATTTTAATACAAAAAACCTGGAATTCTGCAGGGATCATTTGGATTGGAGATCCTTTCCCATATTTGGTGACTGCAATCAGAACGGATAGTGGGTCAAGTTCTAGAGTTTATTGATCTTTGTTTTCACTTGTCCTCAGGATTTCCTGAAGGAGTTCTCATCTGAACAGTTTAGAATGTTTTGTTTGCGGAGCAAATACAGGTCAGGTAAGGAGAACTTAATGATCCTAGTATGGAGGGGGCACTATGATCATTGTCCATGGAGGCATAATGAGGTACATGCTGCATACATTTCTAGATAGGACTGTTCTGAAATGGCTGTTTTTCCTGCAAATACTTTGGGAGTAGAGAATTACAATTTTTAGGGTAACTGTGTTTCCTCAATTTTGGATAAACTAAGATTTTGTTCATATTGGCTAGAGGTGGGCAGAGAAGCAAGAAAAAAGGGTCTCTGCGAGGTGCCTGGCCCAGTAATTACCCAGTAGGTGGAACAAGTATCTGAAGTCAGGATTTACTGATCCCAAGTCAACTATATACTACACAGTGGGACTTCAGTAAATTTTTCTGCCCCTCACAGACATTTTACAAATGTTTTGGAGTGATCTGCATTTTTCTCAGTGACGTGAAGGAGTACTTGTTTCTTTTAACAGCAAGCATTTTTGGATTCTCTGCTTACGTAACTCTATCTGCTAAATAACTTATTTTAAAAAATTGGCGTTCCTTTGGAAAATCGTCGGGCACTGCTAGGTTTGCAGCCTCCATGTGTAGCACATGGAGCCACCCAACACAGATTTCAGTCTTGTATAGCTTGTTTTATCTTACTAAAACCTCCTCGATCCCTCTGCATGTTGCGTATCCAAGATCATTAGCCTGTGCAAAATCTCTTAGCACATAAGTCAAGCCAGAAGTGGGTTGGGTGATCCAATCTGTGTGCTGTTGAGGAATCCGCAGTGCTTTATCGAATTGGATCGGTGCCCACCCAGTGTCCAGTCAGATGACTGCAGGGGGGTCAAACTGGATTCCCCTGTGGATCACCCTGCCTTCTGTGGCGCTGTCACTTTTTTGCCACCACAAACTGTGGCAGGGGACTACGTGGCCCATGGGCTGCACACTGCTTGCACCCAAGTCTGGCAAACGGGCGCCAGTCTCTTCTGTCTACAGCTATTGATACTGTTGAGCCATGGGTACAGCACTCCGAAGCATTTGTGGAGAGACAGTCTGATTCTCCAGGATACAACCTGTGGGGAGGCAAAGCTCTGCTATGTGCCCTTCACCCGTTCACTTCTTTCATAGGCAGAAGATAGCAGAGTCGTGATGTGAGAAAAGAGCAGTAATTGGCCTGACTTTAAATAAAAGTTGTTTTCTGTTCTCGTTATAGTTCTGATGCTTTTATGTTCTCTCATGTCACTGAATTTATGTTTCCAGCTGTAGAATATAGTGAGGACAGCTTGAATGATGCAAAGAACACCCTTCAGGCAATCTATTCTTTTATGAGTAGTGCTAACACCTACATGAAAGGGCAGCTTCTCTGTGAGGCCATTAAAGAAGATGTACTGTGGGAGATGTGAGTATGATGCATCTGTGTTTTCTCCTTTCTGTTTATGGTTAGCCTAGTCTACCCATGCAGAACAAAAGGTGGTAGCATCCCTGACAAGGTAGCACTTCAGACAGTTGGTGATTGGTGCTGATTTTGAATTTTCCTCTCTACTTTTGAATCCCTGAAAGTAAAACTAAGCTAGTGATCAGGGGAAGAGGTACCCTGCATGCTAGTTTTCTACCTTTAGGATACTTTTTCCCCTTGTGAGGGGAATATTCCATAATGTTTCTCTGCACGCCTGCATTCTTAAGTGTGGCAATCTGGTCTCATTCTCCTGGGAGTGAGTGTTGACAGTTCATGTCAATGCTGACAATTCTAGGTGAATTTTGTAAATTTATAGGTTTATGTGAGAAACCAGAGCCTGGGACAGAGTTTACACTCAGCAGAGATCCACAGCTTAGTCCTGGCTCTTCTTTTGAGAGTATCTGCATGATATTGTTTCCAGATCCCTGTCCCTTGCATTGATACTCCCTGTTTGTTAACGGTTGCTTGAAGAAAAGGAATCTTAGTGTATACCTAAAAGGAAGCACATGTAAAGCACCTTCTACTGTGTGTCAGGATAACCGAGGCAAGCAAATCAGCATTACCTCTTCCTCTGTTCCTTTTAAAAATTAGGGCCATCTTGCATTCAGACCTGGTTGTGGTACTGAATCTGCCTTGGTCGCCCTGTACGATGACCTGTGCAGGGAGAGGGACAGGGGGAGTGCGTCCCTGTTGGTTCCCCTGGACCTCTCAGTGGCTTTCAGTGCCATTGACCATGGTATCCTTCTGGATAGGCAGGCCAGGTTAGGAGTAGGAGGGTCTGCCTGGCAGTGGTTCCATTCCTATCTGGCTGACTGATTCCAGAAGGTGGTGCTGGGGAACTATGGCTCTGCACCATGGCAACTTTGCCATGGAGTACTACAGGGTTCCATTTTGTCCCCCTTGCTATTCAACACTTACATGAAACCTCTGGGAGAGGTCATCAGGAGGTTTGGGCTGCGGAGTCATCAGTATGCTGATGACACCCAGCTCAACCTCTCTTTTACAACCAATCCAGGTGAGGCAGTGACTGTCCTGAACTGGTGACTGGCCAAGGTAATAGACTGGATGAGGGCCAATAAACTGAAAATCCAGATAAGACAAGAGGTCGTTTTGGTAGGTCATTCAGGTTTTCAGGTAAGTGATTTTGGCCCTGTCCAGGACGGGGTTGCACTCCCTCTAAAGGACAGGGTCGGCATCCTAGGAGTGGTCCTTGGCCCAGAGTTGTCCCTGGAAGCCCAGGTGATAGCAGTGGCGAGGAGTGCCTTCCTTCAGCTTCGGCTGATCCATTGGCTGTATCCTTACCTGGACGAGCACTGCCTAGCAACAGTGACACATGTTCTGGTAACCTCTGTGTGGGGCTACCCTTGAAGATGGTCCAGATACTTCAACTGGTGCACAACAGAGCTGCCGGACTGCTGTCGGGGACTGGCCGTTATTCTCATATAACACTGGTCCTTTATCAGCTTCACTGGCTTCCTATTGAAGACCGGGCCCAATTTAAGGTGCTGGTTGTTACCTATAAAGCCCTAAATGGCTTGGGACCAGGATGCCTGAAGGAACATCTTTTTCCCTAAATGCCCTCCCACCTTAAGATCTGCAGCAGAGGCCCTGCTCCGGGAACCCTCCTTGAAGGAGATCAGGAGACAGAACACCCGAAGGAGGGCTTTCTCTGTGGTTCCCCAGCTATGGAATGCTCTCCCCTGAGAGGTCCGCCTGGCTCCAACATTATATGCTTTCTGACGCCAGGTCAAGACCTTTTTATTTACCCAATATTTTAAAATTTTAATTAATTATGCTTTTAATTCCAGTTGTGGGTTATTAGTGTTAATAGTGTAATTATTGTTTGGGATATTTTATATTTATACTGTTGCATTTATTGAATTATTGTTGAACGCTGTCCAGAGATGTGTAGTGATTGGATGGGTTAGAAATACTCCAAACAAACAAACAAACAAACAAATGTACATGTGTGAAGGATATCTTTCCTACTGTTTAGCCGGAAAGTCTCTTACTGTGGTTTACAAATAATAATGATATAATCCTTGTCTGCAGCTTTACAGTCTAAAGATGAGCTACATGAGGGAAGTGGGGTGGGGAAAAAGGAGGGGAAAAGCAGGGAACCATTTCTAAAAGTTACCCTTCCTGTCATGACTGACTGTTGCCTGGAGGAAATGGCGGCCACTCAACGGCAGTTGAACGAGGCCAAAGCTAGCAGGGATGGACCTTCCCAGCTGCTCTGATCTCTCTGCATCCTGCAGCCTGCTGGACCAAACTTGATTTAGAAACACCTCAGTTGATGAATAAGGAGCCTTGATTGGCTAACCCATGAAGGGTGCATACAGTTGCATGTGGAGTGTTGTAGGCCGCTTTCCCCAAGAGACATTCTCTCTTCGAAAATAGGAGACAGCACCCGCCACCTCTGCATCTCCAAGTTCCTTGCACTTAAAATAATCTCTTTATATGTTTCCTAGTTAATCAAAGATGCCTTTTCAGTCAATGAAAATATGCTAAATTGGTTATTCTGACAGTGCAGTTCTGTGCACACCTACACAGAAATAGGTCACCTTGGCTGCAGGCGTATTTTAACCCCTTCTATTCTTCTGCTTGAGAAGTGTGTGTAGCTCAGTTGCCTTGCTTTTGTTAATTAGCACCCTACCTACTCCGTTTTCCCTTGATAGTTTAAAATAGATCCAGACATAACACAAGGTAACCATAGATCATTTATATTGATTCATTTAATGGTCATGAATCAAAACTGGTTCTATCATATGATGAAAAAGAGCTGTGTTCCCCTGAACATCAGCTTCTGATTGTTCATAATTCCTTTTCCAATAACACATAAATCTCTGATATTCCTCAGGAAATAGATTTATAGGACTGCCTTCCCTGAATTTGATACAATATATTATCTTCAACAATGCTGATGTCTTTTACATTTTAATGAATCAAAATCTGATGCTAGGAATCACACTTGTCCCTTGGTAATTTCAAGTTGCCATGTTTGTGGAGATTAGCGAATTCATTCTCAGCTGCATCTGCCTGAAACATCAAGCCTATTCGCAGTAGGTTTCCCAGTAGTAAAACTACGGGATCTGCTAATGCTTCCATTTCAGTGTTGGTAATGAAAGCTTAGTTTCCACTCACAAATAGTTGTATTTGTTGACTGTCCACCAAGTGTCAAAGAGCTGCTTGTTCATATGTACATTTCCAGCCATTAATGTGTGCAGCAAAATACCTTTTGTAGAGGTGAGGTGCCAACAATCTTGTTCTTGTCATATCCTGTTCTTTCATCATGAAAAATATCAGCGTGGCGTATTCCAAGTGGGGTGCAGTCACCAAAAAGAATTTTGGAGTATAAGCAGCTAATGGAAGCTTTAATTCAGGGCAGGCAACTTGTATCCTTCTAGATGTTTTGTGCTGCTACTATCATCATCTCTCACAATTGGCTGTATTTGCTAGGGCTGAGTGGAGTTGTGGGCCAAAACATCTGGAGGGCCACAAATTGCCCAGTGCTACTTTAATGTCCTGCTTAGAATCGACATCAACATTTGGCTTCTGGACAAAGGGGCTTTCCCATCATGCTTTTCTCCCTCCCCCAGATAAACCCCAATCCTTTACTTAGTCTATGCAAGGAAGTTCTTTCCAAACTGTTTCCATAATTTTGTACTGTAATTTTTCCATGCTGCAGTGCAGCTCAGCAACGATCTGTAACAATGAACTAGCCAACACCAATTGTTTTTACAACATTCTAGGAGCTTCTGCATAGCCAGGGCTGCACATTCCTTTTTTTCCTTCTACAGGTAAGGGCTATCTTAGAATAACTCTCTCTCTGGAATTAGAATAATTCTGTCATCTCAGACTGGATATTTTTATCCAGTGAAGTTTTCTGAGCTGACTGATCATCCTATTATGTTCCTAATACCAAAGTCTCTTGCCAGTCTTTGCTTACACAGCAAAACCACAATCACCATAGCATCGCTGTAAGAAGCACAAGGATTTCCTCTAGTCTCCGCACAATTCATTAATGGGTGGCTGGATATTCCTCAGGAAACCACTGCCAGTTTTTGGTCACGTTTAAAGTCTCAGTTTTTCCCTCTTTTGTGGCAGCACACCATTGCCCCCCCCACCTCCTGACTCTGAAGCTGCTGGGCAGAGTTCAGGAGGTGGGGGGCAACTTGTTCAAACACCTCAGAGTCAGGATGTGGGGAGGCTACTCGCTCGGAAGCCTCAGAGTCAGGCTGTGGGGAGGTTACTCGCTCGGAGGCCTCAGAGTTGGGCTGCAGAGGGGTTGTTTGGGCACTAGGCCTCAAGTATAATTCCCCTTGTTCCAATGCCTGACTCTCACTGTGAGCTTCCGGCCCTTCCTCGCGTGCCAACGCCTCTGTCGAGCCGTTAGGCATGACACCATCTTACTCTCACCACTGTATACAAGATTAGCAAATAGACCCAGCTTTGCATGGGTTGGAATGGCCCTTAGTTTGATGCAGCAAAACCTTCAAACTAAGTGGCATAGCTGTCAGTGTTGGACCCTGTTTGTGTGAAGCTGTGCCTGCTGGCACCCCTATGCAGGCCTTCTGCCGTGATATGCTCCATCCTCCCCTGCGCTTTCCCGCAGCAAGGGGAAAAGGGCTGGCATGTAACTCTTTCCTCAGCCTACAGATCTTCCTTGGCTTTCAGTTGTATGTCTGTGTACCGGATAGGGAAGTCTCCCCTCAGCCATGTGAACTCATTTACATTAATTAGGTAATGCGTTTAAATAATAAGCCTGTGGTACACACCTTTAGGATTTCCTTAGTAGGCACACTGAGTTTCATGTCTCTTGTTTCATGGTCTTGGCACTGTGGTGCTGATGGACAGACAGAGACACTATTGTTATTATTACAGGTGTGGGTGGACCTGGCTTTCAAGGGACAGGCCTTCTGCCAAGGTGTTTAGCTTGGCCCTCCGAGTATCAAGGACAGAGAACAAGCGGTGCAGGTGTGCATGTACAGGCTGCAGTGAGGGAGGAGGGTCCACCTTGGGGCAGCAACATAAGAATGCACAGGTGGGGTTATGTGTGTGGGAGCTTTTCTAATGGAAAAAGCAGCATGTGGTTTGTGCTGCTGACCAGGTGGAGAATTTCTACTGCATGAAGCCATCTCTTCTCTCTGTCTAGTCACTTTAGAGTGCTGAACTGCCACATAGATTTGGCTTAGAAAGAGAAATGCATAGGGTTGGATCCAGGCCTAATCCCAGTTAGAATGGGCTCCTTGAACTCAAGGGGGCTGTTATGCCACTGATTCCAATGGTTATTGGTTAAGTATGCTTAAGTCTGGATCAAATTCACAGCCAGTTCAAATGGGTCTTGACAGAGGAATACTGTATGCAAAATGGATTTCCTACAAGTCCTAAAAGCAATTTAACAAAATGATGTGTCTTTATTCAGTTCTGAAACTATATCCAGCCAGTTTTAAACGCTGTCGCTTCCCATGGAAAAGTTTAAGCATCCACTTCTTTCTCTCAGAGAAATCAAAGCAGCATGGCTAGAATATGCCAAGATAACTGCAGAAAACATGTGTTGCCCCCTGAAGTATATTTTAACTAACTGATTGGCTTAGAGCAAGAATACTAAGTTTTTGCTTTGGTTGTCTTAACATTTTTCCTTCTTCCTCATCCTTCCAGGCTAGCCCACACTAAGGCAACAGTAAAGGCTGCGTGTGCTGATGACTTTGACACCCCCAGGGCTGTTGGTGCAATTATGGGCCTCATTCACCATGGCAACAGACAGCTTAAGGCCGTCACTAAGGTAACCCATTAGGATGTAAGGTTCAGAAAGCGACAGTTGTCTACAGTTCTGCACCAACCAATTTGGTTTATTCTTTTCTTAGGAGAAACCAGCAAGAAAAAGAGGCAATGAATTTCTTCTCCCATGGAAAACATCCAGATTACTCTTCTAGAGAATAATAACCTCTCTCCTTATGTTGCAGTGCATCTGAAGTTTAATTTAGTTTTGCTGCACTGTATTTGTGGGCATTTTATGAAATGGTGTTTCCACACTAGCCTTTTCTTGTGCTATCGGTTTATGTTTACATTTGTGTATCACCCTTTTCCCTCTTGAACGGATCCCAAGGTGGCTTACATGGTGGTCCCGCTCTCTGTGTTATCCTCACAATGTGTTAGGGAGGTTATGCTGAGAGTCTGTGACTAGCCAAAGGCATCCAGGGGTGACTAAGGGGCTAGAACCTGGATCTCTCAAGTCCCTTAACTGTTACACCATGCTCTATTCATACCACATGTGCGTTTATCTATTTGAAAGCAAATTATTGTGGTCCAGAGTTCTTTCTGTTCTCTTCCTGCTTAACTTCATTGTATGCAGTGGAGAGAGGTGTTGCCCTTAATATTACTTCAAAGCAAGGGTCCAAACTGTGGCAAGTAGCCCTGTCTGCCTCTTCCTATCACCCACACTTACTAGATTGACTTCACAGCAACATGACATATCATGTTGTTTCCAAGCCTCTCCAGGAAACATGGAAGGAGGATGCTTGGCCACACTTCCCGAAGCGGATTGGAAGCAGCGTGACATCAGAATTCATTTCATTGCTGCAAAGCTTTCTAGAATGTGCAGGTTGGTGAGAAGTAGCGGAGAGGATCCCATACTGCTCATAGCGGCATGATCTCTGTTTAAAAAACATTTTAAAGAGCAAAATCCCTTCAGCTGCCTCATGCAGTTAAGTGGCAGGCCCCACCTTTGCTAAGATTTTGGAGAAAATTAGTTTTCCCTCCCATGATTTTGGCAGTTCTTTGATTCACCCAAATCAACTTGCAAATGACTGGAATAAAATATAGAGTATAGAGTATCTATTTGTATGCAGACATCTCTGACTTTATTACTTCCTATATTTGCCTGCTGTTATATTGATTTCTTGGGACTGTGATTTTCAAGTAAGATATCTCTCTCCCAATCTTGTTCTCACCTGAGGTCCATCATAGAGCCAAAGCTACAACTTTCTATAAATAGTCTGTACTCTCTCCTTCCCTGCAGTATTGAAAATAAGAAAATCCTTTATTAAGGTTACCCAGATTCCATACCAACAAAAGCTGAATTCTGCAACTCTCGTAAACTTGACAAATGAGGCAATATCACATCCCTTGCTTTATTCATGCAAATCTATATTAGAACATGACCAATATTGGGTCAACCAAAAAAACATGAAAATACACAAGCTTTAAAGGTCTCTCCTTCAGGCGAAGTACTGCAAAAAGCAGGTTGGTAGGAGGGGAAGATGGGAGAAGCAACAAGGAAAGGCTCACTCAACATAATGAAGTCTTTGTGGTCAGAGTCTTAAGATGAATTGTGGAAGGAACTTGTAGACATTCAAATTAGACTCTGCCAGTTGATACAATCTTTTAGGTCTCCCTTGGGATTTACTGCTAAGGTTGATGAAGAAACAGAATGACTGAAGGCTACTTTTGAAAATACGTATTCCAGCTAGGGAAGCTGAGGGGGTGAATTAGGCCTGTGAAGTCTTGTCCCCTTGCCAGTGGAAACCTCGGTCCTTCCTCCTGCACCATTGTCTTCTTGGATGTCACTAGATGTGACTCACATGCTTGTCGTGATTAGGGGTGTGTGTTTGGCCCTTTAGAAGAAAGCTAAGTCTGCCATTGCCAGACCTTGTGTCATAGATATTTTTTTGCAAAAAGCGGCATGGAGGATACTCAGCCCTGTGCATGTTGTGCTCATGCAGAGTCTGATTGTGTCGCTTTTCCGAGCTGGGAAAAACCCTAAATAAAGTGTATCTGGCAAAAGCTATGCATAAAGTCAGAGTCCAGAAACTGGCAGATTTTTGTTTGCGCTTACACCATACGACATATCTGTTCTGAGTGTTCCTTCCAATAATGAAGGCTTTAAAAGGGGGGAGTTGAGAAAGCCACATTCTCTGCGTTGTCCACCCATATCACAGGTGACGTGCATTCTGTGCTGCGTATTTTCGAAACACCCAGTGATAGCACTTTCCAGCCTGTTACTGCAGTTAAGAGTTCTTCGCTGTTGGAAAGATGAGGGCTCAGGAAAGGTTTCAGTTAATGAGATTTCTGCAGAGCTGCCTTCTGCAAGCAAAGAATGGTTTGTGTTCATCTTTTGTTCATGTGCACAGAGGCGTTGGTCACCGTAGTGAACTGTTATAGTTACATCAGCTCTTTTGTGTGTGTTTTGAAATCAGGAAACTGGATCTCCTAGAAGCGCTGTTGTGTTTGGAGCCATTGTGTCCTATATAGAGGAATTTTTCAACACATTTGGGATTGCCCTCTCTGAAGCTCAGGTAGGAGGCCACTATAAAGGTCCATTCATTGTAAGTGAGGGGGGGTGGGGGCTCAGCAGCTGTAGGGTCATAACACCAGGCTTCTCCGAACTGTTTGCCGGGTGCTTGTGCTGGGTCAGAGTGGCTTTCAGTGAGTCCCCTTTATCACAGGGAAAGAACCGTGTGTAACAAGAGTGGGGCAGCTGTGGTCCTCCAGACACTGTTGGACTTCTTTTCCCAGCAGCCCCATCTAGCTGGTCCATTCAGCAGCATTTGAGGAGCAGCTGGTTCTCCACCCCTGTCGTATAAGCTTGTCATTGCATTACCTTTCTGTCTTGCCTTTCTCACTCCTGCAAGGGACCCAAGGTGAAGTACAAAGCTCTCCTCTCCCGTTTATCCTCACAACAATGCTGTGAGATAAGTTAGGCTGAGAGGCATGACTTGGCTGGCTAGTCACCCAGTGGGCTTCACAGCTCTGTGTGTGTGTGGGGGGGGAGGGGGTGGAACCCAGATCTGTGCCCCAGTCCAGCATTATGAACCATGACATCACACTGGCTCTCCCAGCGATTGGCTCTTCCAGTGGGGTTGCCACTGTTCTGTCAGTCTCCTCAGGCTGGCTGCAGATGTCCCAGGTATTTGGCAGAAGTCTGAAATCCTCCGTCCGGGTTTTTTTTGCTAGGGATTGGCCCTGGGACTTTCTACAAGTGGAGCTTCTTAAGCACTTCCCAGCTGACGTCTTCCAGAGCTGCAGTCCCACAGACCTCTGTGAGCTCCTTCGTGGAGGAAGACTCACTGTTCTCTCCAGCCGGAGGAAAGAACAGTGGGGAGGCCAGAGATGGGGATCCGGCTGGCTCTGGAACCATCAGCTGTGCCAAGCAGGGCAGCGTCACGCAGCATGCAGAGCACGATGCTGGGGACTGCTCCTCTCAGTGTTGGCCGAGACCCCTTTTGCTGAGGAGGGCAAGAGCTCCGTGCTGTCCTGACAGAAAGGCAAAATGGGCAAGGAAGTTAACATCCATAGGCTGTAGCCACTGATGCCATCCAGCCTAGTGGGGCACTTTGGCCCTTCCCATTATGGTTCCTCACAGTGAAAAATGCACCAGTGTAGTCACCCTCATCTTGATCTCCATGGAAGTTCCATGCTCTTTATTACACCTGAAGCCCTTTCCCTGTAGGGGTTTTGTTGCTCTTGAAGCAGACCTTATTTACAACTGAGAAGGCGCTTGGAGCTTCAACATGCTCCGAGCTGAAGCTCCAGGTTGAAAGGCATAATGTAGGTGTAACTGTGTTGCGTTTGGGGGGCTTGATTTTAGATTTGTGGTTTACAGGTTGCTCCAGAACACAACCATCCAGCCATCCTCTCCAGTGTGATTGATGAACTGGTGAGGTTCCGCATCAAAGTGCGCAATTTTGCCCTTGCTGTGCCGGCAGCTGCAGAAAGTGCACCCACTGAAGGTGCTCATTTGTCCGAAGAGCCAAAACAGATACAGAAAGAGGAAAGGCAGCGGCTGTTGAAAGACCGAGCACCCCTTCTGCAAGCGTGTGATAGTCTGCGTCAAGACCTAGCTCTCTACGGTATCAGCATAAAGGTGGTAGTGGTTCTTGTTTGTTTGATTAGCCCCTTCTCCCTCAAGCCTGCTTGCAGGAGAATTTTAGCATCTTGCTACTGTGGGTTGTCTTTGGAATAGGGCTTTATTTCTATCCTGTGTTCACCCTGTGAACAGGCAGCTCTCACCGTTGTGCCCTGAACCGTTATAATATAATATAATAGAAATCACAGGGGGTTTAAATTGAATCATCGTGTTTGATTGATCGATCCCTCAGTTTTGCCCTATCCCATGTGTAGCAGCTTTTGCAGTTCTAAGTGGAAGCAAAATTGTTGGGCATCTCTGTTGTCCTGGAGCCTCCCTGGAGAATTATAAACATCCCAAGTATTCCTGTAGTTGGACTATAAAGTGCAAAAGTAGTAGTACCAGCTTTAGAAGAGGTTCTCTGCACAGATTACTTGTCCCAGTCTCATAGGTACAAAGTGAACATATGAAAAGGACCCTTGCTAGCAACTTTGGTTTTCCTGACCAGGCTGAAAATGGAGGCTGTGTTTCAGCCACTTCACAGATTCTTCTCCTTTTTGCATTAATTTGTATTGAGAGTGTCAATAAATCAAAACAAAATTAAAAATCCATGATAAAATTAGATAAAGCCTAAGTTTTCTTATGTGAGATTTTAATAGCAATTGTGTTAGATACTCATAGAATGTGTACCCCTGTGTATTTTGTACAGAGCAAGTTTCACTACTGTTTTTGGTATAATTATACATGGACTTTAAAAAAGGCAAACCAAATATCCATATTTTTGTCCATTCATAGGTTGCACCCATTCAGAAATTAAAAGCATAGTTAAGTGTTCAGCCCACTGAAGGTGTTATCAAAGGTGACATCCTTCCAATATTGTGGTGTTAATCTTTTAGTTGTCAAAAGGCTGTGGAAAATCCATTTTTATTGGCTTTGTCTTATGTTCCAAAAAGCAGGTAGTTAATTAGGAAGAATATGCACATTGCCAGTTATTAAAGAGCTTTCAGTCAGAATTGTATTATGCTCTCCTTCTGACAAGAGGAAGCCATTGGGTTGTGCCAAAACATGCTGATAAGGGAAGTCTTAGTATTTTTACATTTCCAGCAGTTAATATATTTAGACAACCCTGTTTGAAAAAGACATTGTGCAATCCAGCTCATTCAAAAGACAAATTTCTGCTGAATCAGACATAACCTGAGATTCAGTTACCCTTCCAATATAGATGCCAACGCAACCATTTTATTGGCTTGGCAAGATAGTACGATTCAATTCGTTATTCCTTTCTTGCTGAAGGCCCTCTTCTTATTCACCAATAATAGCTATTTATAAACTTGGATCATGAGTCAGTGTAACAGTACAGCCTCAGTCAGATCTTCCGATAGCAAAGGGAACTCTGGAGCTGTAAAAGCAGCAGGGCCAAGCCTGTTTTCAGCAAATGTTTCATTCATTTATATATTTCCATTCAGCTGTAGCTGACAATATTTAGCATACATAACAGAATGGCAGAAAAATGTAATTGGGACTGACTAGCTAATTTAAAACAAAACAAAACAAATCAGCTTATCTGTCCAAGTCCAGCAGATGAACATTCCCAAATAAATAATGAAATTTGGGCAGGATCCAAAGTGCCAGTTTGCTAGTATACTATGGAAAATAGTATCTCCAATCAGCATCAATTCAGAATTTGACCAGTTAATTGAGTAGTAGGACAAACTAGGAGAAGTTTTAATCATCTCCATCAGAGCAAGAACAGATTGGAGATTGGAAATGAACAATAAAAAGTTATTAACATAAAGATTAAGTTTGAAATTCTGAACAATTAGGCACATTCTGTGAATATTAGTGTTCTGTTGATGGGCACCTGCCAGGGGTTCCAAAGGTAGAGCAGATATCAGTGGGAAAAATGGACCTCCCTGTCTGGTTTTACTTTACCTTTCCAAAGTAAAAAAAAATATACAAAATGCCACTGGTCCTAAGTCTGAGGCTGAATGTAGAATTTTGGCCTATTTCAGGAATTTGCAGGAAGACCAAAATTTCTCAATGTAACAAAAGTAAATTTCTGATAAGAGTCTTAGGAAAAGCTTTCTCCACATCCCGAGAAACAATGGAAGCTGTATTTGTTTGTAATTAGCGTAATCAGACCAACCACCAGTATGAGATTTTTTTTACCCCTGACTATTTTTAATAAACCACCTGATCCAGTTACACTAACACTGAGTAGCTTGTTGCAACCTATTGGCCAAAATTTCACTTAAGATTTTAATGTCAACAATAGTTAACCCATAAGTAGAATAACTAGTATGATGCCTGTCTGGCTGAGGAGTCACAATATGTTTGTATTGAGTGCTGACAAAGGAAAACCTGATTCAAAAACTAAGTTATAGAAACAACGCTCTGAAATGAAAAAGCTGTAGATGATTTTGTAGCGCTCATATTGAACTTTATCAGATCCAGTTCTTTTTCCAGACTTTATATTAGTTTTTGCTTTTACGATTTTCAAAGAAGACTGTGCTTGCTAGATGTTTAAGTGGAGGAGATTGTCATGAAGGAAAAGAAAAGGCATAGCTATCCTGTTCTGATATTTTACTACTTCTGCTGCATAATTTTGGGTACAATTTAGAGGTTGAGAGTTTTCAGGAGAAGGGTATGTCTTACCACTCTCATTTGTAGCAGACGAAACCATGTTTGTGTTTTTGTTTGAGCTAATGAGCCAAAATCTTACTAGGGCATTTATCATCTTCCCAGTGCCCCTGTCTTAAACAGGTTGAAGCAAAATCTGTCTGCTGCCAAGGAATATTATTCAGCTCGTGTTTGATGTGCTGCACTTCCCGATAAAGTTGTGCAGTTGATGAAAAGGCAGGCCAAGTTATTAATTTTTCAACTTTAACTTAAGACAATTCGTTCCTTTAAAAAAAAATCATATGAGGTGTGAGGGACACATGTCATAAGCTTCTGGGCAGGGACAGGAAATACGGCCTGTGGGCTGAACATGACCCAGCTATGGCCTCTACTATGCCTGCTGCTCCCCAAAATTGTTGAAAAAGTATGAAAACAAAAATAAAAAGGTCCCTAAAGTGGACAATTTGAAGCCTTCTTAAATGCTTTAATGCTCCATAGCTACTGTGGAACACCAAAACTAGCTTGAAAACAAGCTAATTTTAAGCTTTGGTATCCTAGAAGCCTTTTGTTTGTTTGTTTGTTTGTTTTAGGGTAGAGGGGATGAATTTGATTACTTGAGTGGCAGATTTCCTATTAGCTTCTTTGAAGGTGCAAATATTTGTGAAACTGCAGATGGTTTAGGCTGTCATAGATAGAAAAATGGTGCACTTCTCCTAGGTTGTATGGCCTGCTGCAGCACACACTTCCTCTTAAAACAAAATATACGTTTTTTCATGCACAGATCTCATCCATTAATTTAACGATGGGTCAGTCAGGATTTACTGGTAGACCATCAAGGGTTTTTGATTCTCTATTGTTGAACAATACCAGCAGCAACAAGGCTCCTTCCTCCATTCTAAATTAGCCACTAAATAAATCTAAGAGCACCAACAGCAGGATTTTGTGTGAATAAACTGTGAATGCAGTTTTGATCCTGAAAAGGCATCCTGCTCTTTAATTCTATAAGCGTTATCTCCTTTTTGCCCTGTTTTGCACTTGATACTGGTTCAAAGATCTTGGGACACAAGTGAAACATGAAGTAGGTCCTGCTAGTTTGAAGTTTGTTTATCCGACGTAATTAATTAAATGCACATGCTTAATCTACTAAGATTTCCTTAATTAGGTGGCAGCTCTCATTACTACTATTTCAATTTCACAGATGACAGAAGGTGGCAATGCAGCCTATGCCAGTGTTGCCCAAGTTTCCAAATGTCTTAGATTACAGTCCCCATCATCCTCCAGATCAGGATGATGGGAATTTTAGCCCAGTATTTGAGCAGGGCTCTGAACAGGTGACACTCCTATGGACATTTTGCACTAAGCCAGCTTGAACTTGGTGAAATTACTTCTGACTAGAATTAAGTATAGCCTAAGTACAGCATGTTGTACAAGCACTAAAGGAAATGCAACTTTTAATGTTTCTCCTTTTTCCTTACCTCTATAGGACAGAAGTACTACTTCTACATGGGAACTCGGAGACCCCAGCAAAGAACTGGAAAAAGGCTGATACAAATATGGACCACACTTGGAGTGGTTTAACACTATGGATTTAAAATTCTTGTGACTTAAGAGAGTTCTCTACTTAAAAGTAAAAAGCTTTGTCATTGATTTTGGGGAACAAGTGCAGATCTGTTATGCATAGCTAAAGCTCCTCTGTGTTCACACTTACGGAATCCTGTAAACTTGTTTGCATCACTGTCTTCAGTGAGATTAAACTGCTGCTTCTGGTTTTGTTTTGTTTTCCTTTTAAAAACAGAACTTTCTAGCGAAACTGCCATTGCCGGGTCTCATGACAAAAGAGGTGAGTTGCATAAGTTTACTTCAAGAGCCAAGTGCTTGCTACCCTTTATTTGAAATGGAACCTCCCTGGGATTGGGGTGAAATAAGCAGTTCTGACCAGCCTCTTTAACTGTTCATAGCTGCTAAAAGAGACAGATTTGAGTGCAGCACCATCTAAAAATAGGATTTATTATTTATTCAAATGGAATTTTGGTAGCAAGGGGTTGATTCACATACCCTTTTACACTGTAAGCACTTACCTACAATTTATGATATTTATATGTTACAGATAGTTTATATAGTATTTCATTTAGTATTGGTAAGAGTTCAAATCCAGGTTCAAACTTGGTTGAAGCTTAAATGTAGCTGACACAAATGAGATTTTTAAGAATTGCTTATTAGGAACAGTGTAGGAGGATCTCCAGAAGTACTGAAAGGAAAAAACTTTAATTCCGACAATCTAGACTTTCTCCTCTGCATAGTTCAGAGGTGGTAGGAGTCCTTCTGGAAAGGCAAAATATTCTGGCTGACCTTGTGAAAACAAAACCTTACTGACACAGACTTGATCTAATTTCAAGTTGGAAACCCATGCTAAATAAATGAATTGGGCAAACTAATCTTAATCCAGATACTACTTGCTTCACCTTTCTCATTTTTTTTCTTTAACCCATGAAGCTTCTTTGGTCACTTAGCAGGCTGCTGTGATTTATGTATATGAGGAGGATGAGAAGAAGAGCAGAGAATCAGACAGCTTCCCTGTAAGGTGAACCTTCTTGCCTGCTAGATGTTTCCAAGTTGTCCACAGGATTTTAGTGCTGTACCAGCTGCTCAGAGGAAAAGGGAGTAGTGCTGAATTGAAGAGACTTGGGCTTTCACAGAGGCAGAGATGAGGATTCAGAAGCATGGCTTTGTATGTTCTTGGCATAGCCTCCTCCATTCATTCGGTGAGGCTTGCTTAGTAGCCGGGTACTATACTTGAGGAACTGTGCATTTGATAGACTGACCCACGAATCTTTTAAACAGATGCCTTTATTACCACCTTTGTAATACTGATTCTGATTTCATTTTGCTTTCCAAATTAACAATTGCAGAACATTTGCGCAATAGCAGAGGAAATAGATCAGATGCATTACCAGTTTAGAAATATAGTAAATTATATCAGCTTTGTGGATAGAAAAAGAAATTGGCAATCACCTGTTCTCAAATGAGGCAAAAAAAGAGTGAAGTACAGCTGGACTGAGCTATTAAAATGAACTAGCTGGAAAACCGAAAAGGAAATGAGATAAACTGCAGTATAAAACTCTGCTTTTTCAATATGCAGGGTAAAATCTAACCTAACTCCTACTTAGAGTAGATCCATTGAAGTGAATGTTACTTAAGATAGTCCTGATTTTTTCCAACTTTATTTTAGTTTGGGAAAGGCTGACCTCACATAAAAGTAAAGATGTTTTTTCTTGGTTCATTCATGGCCACTGGAAGGGAGGGAAGAGACGTGCTGATGCTGGGTGGCTGGGGCTTCTAACTGGGGCCCCATTCCACTGGGGTTCATGTTTTCATGTAAAAGCATGAAGGACAATCCTGAATGGAAAATAAAATTTACAAGTTGGGATACTTGCTAGAAAGTGAGAGCTGGACTTGCATTCATTTTCTCCATCTTCTGTGAACAAGCAAGCAATCTTGTACCCCTTTTACTTGGGACAAAATTCTAATGAAATAAATGGGGCTTATTTCTGAGCATGCATGTATAGGATTGTGCTGTTGAGGTAATGATTAGGGAATGTAGATGTGTGATCCTCTGGTTGCAATCCTCTGCTTCTAAGTGCCTTAGTTTGCCCTCTGCCATGTTAGATCAGGACCAGTTTAAAGCAAGACAATTTGAATTATAGATTTAAATAAGGGATGGGCAACTTTGTGAGACCCAGGTCCCCTTCCCCCATTGTTCAAGCTGCACCAGGAACTCTTAATTTAAGAGAGAACCCTGATTTATATTAGTGATTTAAATCATGTTAATTATTGATAGAGCTTCATACATTTCTTAAACAGAAGTGTAAATCTAATCAGTAAAACTTGCTAATTTACAACTCAGTATGGTTTTACACCATCAAGGGTTATACAGTTTGTTAATTTTTTGGAGAACTTGATTTATATTACTTTAGCAGATAGTACACAGTAGTAACCTTGTCAAACTCTGCATGCAACAATAAGAACAAAATCATGCACACAAACAAAATAGCATTTTTAAATGAAATATTTATAAACATGTTTACTATTATGGCAGCATTCTGGGTTAACAGCTAATGGGTATTGTTAAACTTTTAGAAAAGCATTAGCTTAAACAGACAAATCATCACACCACTAAATATAACTAGACCTTATCTTCCATCTGCTTGCATCCTTTTTATCCACAGACTGAAATCCAAGTTTTCCTGCCTTGCAACTCTCAGTTTATTGCTTAGCTTTTGAGTGCATAATACCAAACAATGAAGATATTCTCTGTGGCTACAAAGGAAGCTACTGCTGTGAAATGTTGGCTTAGCAACCAAAGGGAACTCAGGTTCAAGGTACTCAACTACTGATTCCCACCATTTCAGGGGAATTAACTTAGTTCAAAAACAGCATAAGTAAATTTGTAGAGAATGAGAATGCAAGGCATACTGTGATTAAAAAGCAACACAATAGAGAAAAGCATATAGAGCAGCATGCCATCGATGCTAGACAAGGATGTGTTGACTGAGCTCCTGATGTAAACACAACAAACAAATCCAAGCAGCTCTTCCAGTCACAACATGGATGATGTTTGCTAAACATAACGTACAAAAACAGATGGGGTGTACCATGAAACTTAAAAAAATAGAAGTATAATAAATACTTTAATATGCTGAAAAGAGTGACAGTGTACAAAGATATGCATTACACTCTAAATCTCCTGAGCACAAGAGAGAGTAAGATTGCTGTGAACCATCCTTGTTGAATCTTCTTTCTGACATGGTTCAAGCGATCCAATGGAAATGCAGCCTGACGCTTATAAGCATAAAAGGCCTTTCAGTAATTAGCCCCTTTACTCTCCACTGAAAATCAGTGCCAAAAGAAAAGCAGAATATAGCTGCTAAGGATGTAACTTTTTGCAGTTTGATGTCAGATACACTTAACAAGATTTTTTGGTTTCTCCTTACCCAGAGAAAATTCATAAAGAGAAATACCCATTTCCATGTTTTTACCAGGTTTTCATCAGGAATCATGCCTGATTATAGTGCTGCAGCAAAAGCCCTATTAGTCAAAGTAATATATCATCCATCTACAAAGGGTGGATGCCTAAGCCATACGTATTACTGAGTTTAATTCAGTTTCTAAGCCCAACACTGTTCGAAAACTGGAATCCTGAGAATTGTTCCGAGGAAAAGTGACTGCAAACTTTCGCTGCTATTTATGTCCTGTATGGTTACCATGTACCACTGGACCATAATCTTAGCATGAAACATCTTTAAAACCATACGTACTAATGAATCACACTTTGAAAAACAGACTTTGCAAAACTGATAAGCTGTTAACATGCAGATCTTTGAAGATTTCATTTAAAGTATGATAAAATTACACTGAGATATTTATAATATGCTTGTTCAGTTGGACTTCGGTTGAGAGCCCAGCTATATAATTTCCTGTTTTGAAAAGACAAAAGATTTGTGTTTTGGTGTAATTAATAGTCAAATGATTAATTGTCACTAAAACAGGCAAAAACTTCAGCAATGCAATCCCAATATGACAATAAAATAGCAGTTTAGAGCAGCAACGGGCCCAAGGGACCAGCTAGTTGTGGGGTGAGAATCAACTCCAAAAGGGGCTAGCTTATTCCTAAATTGACTACAATGGATGCTAACACACAGGGTTGTCTCACCCATTAGTTAATGCTGCATTTGGGCTGCAGATAACTTGCAGAGGAATTGCTGAATGCAGTTGTTTATTTTAAAAAAGCAGGCTATTCTTAATTGAAGCATTTTAACTTCTCTTATTAACAGGTTTCTAGGGGTGACACCAAAAGCTGCTGTAAGATCTACAAAGGCACTACACTGTTCAAATGGGTCCCCCTCCAGTCTTGAAATGTTTTATGATTGATTGATATGACTGACATTCCTGAGAGCTGATATTGAGATGTCTGTGCCATGGCATCAGCATCTTCAGAAGTTAGGCATCTAACCTTCCTATCTGTGCTTGAAAATGTTCAGTAAGAAAATGAGGTATGGCGTTAGAGCGAGTTCCATTTGCTTCTTTATTGCCTGCAGATTAAACTTTTTGGTTTAGTACTTCCTTTCTTCAGTGCCTTTTGAAGTACCTTCCAAATTCTGACAGCATCAGCAGTACGGCAGCCATTTCTGAAAACCCTTTTAAGGCTATGGCTTCCAGTATAGTGAGAATATCTTCTGTGTTTAATGATTTGGAAGAGATACTTTCACTATTTTATGAATGCTTCACACAGCTTTATGAGAACAGGCCAGGACAAATTCTCAAAACAATCACCTAAGGAATTCCATCCTGAAGAAGAGTTCGTTTTCATCCTAATTCTCTCTTTAGTAAAGCTGAGGCAAAACCATTTAATAGAAGTACTTTGTAACTTCATAGGGTTTTTTTTTTAATTCCTGGAGAAGTAGTAGGTCAAAACGATGCATTAAATGGATATACAGCAACTATATGTTATTTAAGGAGCTTCATTTCACATCTTGCCACTTCTCATTTTTGCCATATTTGCAGTTTTGCCTGTGACAAACCTCACGTTACATTTGATCTTGGCTCACATTTTATTGTAAATTTCACTGCCACTTCTTTTAAATCTGTTGTGTGTTTGCCAGTTTGTTTCTGAAAGAAATTCTTGCACACTAGGTTGCTTCTCATACTATCTAGCAACCCTCCAACTATGTCTACTCTGTGTTCCTAAGAACTTAACCAAGTCCTTATTTATTACCTTTTATTAATAATGTGAAAAAGGGGGTAACTTGTAGGTATGTTCTGATCTTATTACAAACCTTATTACATGCTAGGGGTTTTACAGGGTGATTGAAATATTTCGCTTGCAACTGAACTGTCTGGAACATGTTTCGTGGCAGGAGTGCTGCTAAAACTACCAGTAGATGACTCTAAAGTTGCAGATGGTCAAGTTGTTTGCACTTCTCTAGGATTCTGAGACAAATTATTTTGGTTCTTCTCATTCTGTTATTCGGTGAACCAATTAATTTGTTTTCAACAAGAATGCAGTTGATTGCAAGAGTATCCAAAAAGTTAAAGTTCATTTATGGAACACATTGAACATCACTGGTGCTTCAGTTTTTGAGAAATTTAAATATATGATGGGATTATTTGACAAACTTGAGTAATGTTGCATTAAAATAGGGAATCGTCAATGATGATCTGCCATGATGATCCATAATTAGGGGCATATGATAACTGGTCGCAATTTTAAATTTCTCTTCTTGCAACTTTCTGTATTAACTATGTTTAGAATCTACAAAGTTTAATTGAGCCAGAATTAACTTGGCAAAGCCACAAAATATTCTAGCAAGACCCAACACAGCAAACAGTTTAAGAATCTATTTGTTAAGTCAGACCTAATATGCATAGAGAGATGGTTAAATCACAATTTAACCTGGAACCTTTGAATTCAGGGAACCGTGTTAGTCATGACTGACTTAAATCTCACCGATTTCAGTGACGTTGAGGTGCAAACCAATGTCTTGACAGGTAATGTGAAAAGGAGCAAAATGAATTAATTTGCTAACCAATTGATCCACATTGTTCAGACTAGGCTACATAACTCTCTCTTAATAAACAGTTTTCATTAAAATGTTTCACGCTTCAACTAAGCCTCTTCTTGCACTGCTTATAGTCAGCATATTACTATACTTTCCTTTTTTGCCTGAGAAAGTAATCTTCAAACATTCCCAGATAGGATCTCATCTCTGCCCAAAAGCCAAGAGTTTCTAATGTGGTGCAAGTGTGGCGTTACAGAAGAGCCCACTGTTCCTTTCTGCTCTGCCTCTACTCATTCGTTCCTATATGGCAGTGGTTCCCATCCTTTGTTTGTTTACCCCTTGACAGTCTATTTCCATGAATTGAATCCTTCATATTAGCAAAATATTTGTAATTAATATAGTTATTTCTGCCACTGCTCTTGTTCCTGTTCAGCTGCTGCTGGGGGGCGGGGGGCAGTTAATCCCTAAATGTCCTGGGACACAGGTGGTGTAGCAGGTTAAACTGTTGAGGTGCTGGGCTGTTTATCGGAAAGTTGGCAGGTCAAATCCATGCACTGGGTTGAGCGTCCATTGCTTTGTCCCAGCTCTTGCCCACCCAACAATTTGAAAGCATGCAAATGCAAGTAGGTAAATAGGTACCACTTTGGCGGGAAAAGGAACAGCCTTCTGTGCACCTTAGTGTTTAGTCATGCTAGCCACAGGACCACAGAAGCGTCTTTGGACAATTCTGGCTCTTCGGCTTACAGAGCACTGGCTCTAGAGCCAGACATGACTAGCACACACGTGTGGGGGAACCTTTACCTTTTATGTTTAAACGTCCTGGTTCATACCCCTGGAGGGTACACCTGCCCCAATTTGAGAATCACTGCTATACTGTATTTAACTCCTTTGCCTGGCTTGGCCTAGCTGCGACTACCACACGAGCGGAGATCATCAATCCTATCCAGGACAAGTCTTTGCTAGGGAAACAGAAAGCCCAGAACTTTCAAGAAACAAGGGCTGCTAATAATGTGGGCAGAGCCAATTTCAAAAGATTAAAGACAAATGCCCATGTTTGATTGCTAACACCACGTAGCCATATTTAATTTCTGCGAGATTAGCAGGACAATCCTGTACCAATTTACCTAGGGAATAAGTCCTGCTGAACTGGGGGCACATATTTCTGAGTAGGCAGTGTTAAGAATGTGCTCCAACAGGTTAGTGATTATATTTATAACTTTTTTAAACCAGTGGAAAACTTAATGTTTTAAAGTTTCAAATGTTAAATCTGATTCTTTTTAAAAATACTTTATTTAAAATAATAGTCAACCTGATGCATACAAATAGAAATAAATGCATATTCTACCAGCTGACACTAAAGGACAAGCCCTTCCAGTAAGAAACTGTTTTATAAATGCTGTTCATCTTTCCAGTTATGGATAAATGTAACGATTATGTAAGCTATCTTGAGTTTCTTGATATGAAAAAGTGGGATATAATGAATGAATGAATGTTTACTATCTTTACAGTGCTAAAAATCATTCTGACCAATGTACCAAGTAAAGCAAAGGAAAATCAGGTAGCCAGTTCAAAGCCATATTATAGATTCATTGGCCAGAGTCTAAGCAGTTCAGTGAAAAAATACACCTTATAGTGGTTTTTATTTGTAATATTTTTATTTCCTTGAGAAAAGAAATTGCTACATCTTCAGATTATTTCAGTTGTAAAATCTTTATACAGTGGTGAACAACATATTAGCAACTCTTGTAATACAATTAAAAACAGGCAAATTCAATTCTGTACTGACTGTTCTGGTCAGTTTGAAAAATCCAAGGACATACTTGGTTTCCCTACAAATATTATGTTAAAATCTTGCTACTTGCTTGCTAATTATTAACAGTTCAGTTCTAAATTATGGTAGCTATTTTGTTTTTTACTGAGGGGAATGGCACATTTGTTTAAACTACATCAGTCATTCATATTCCCCCACCGTAACCCCACTCCACCATGACAGTTCTGTGTTTTAAACTCTGGGAGTACTATCCATTTGCACTCTGATTGTAGTGTCCACATCTGGAAGGCCTGAGGTCGACTCACACTGCCTCTTCCCCCAGTCCCACCTACAAAACAGACACATGGATGTATAGGTAGTGCAACAGGAGATCCAGTTGGACCTCCCTTACGGGCAAAGAAACCAGCACTGGGCAAAGAGGGAGGCCTAGAAGTAGACATGGGAGAAAAATAACTTCACCTTTCTTCCCAACATCCTTTTGTGCTACCTGTGAGCCTGCAGAGATGGGAAGGGTGGCTCTGGAGCCCTGTTGGGATCTCCCAAAAGTACTAGGTTACAGCATAGGAACCACTCCAGTGCAAGCAGATAATTCCCTAAGAAATATTGCTTACGGACCATCTCTTCTTAGAGCCGACTCATGTTCAGAAGAAGTACATTATGTGAGTCACAGTCTAAACAACCACAGAAGTAAAGAGAGGAATCACACACCTTTGTTTCTGCTATGTTATTTTTCCCTGTGGGAGAACTTTATCCCTCACCTGCATTTGCAAGCAGTAGGGACTGCATATTTTTTTTAGGTTGAGTTGGTGCTATGAGCTTTGATAAAACCAAATAATAGAACACTTTGTATTAAAACAAACAAATGTATTGTTCTGAGGTAGAAGTCACAGTGCATCCAAACTTTAGCTGTAAGCACATTGAATTTATACAGAGCAAGTTAATGTTAATTAGTGTCCAGCTATTGTATTAAGTAGAGCAAAAGGAGTGCTAATTTAGAGCTACAGATTGTAGACTAAGGCTGCAGTTGTCAATATACATACTTTGGAGTAAATCCCATTGAATTTAGGACTTAATTTCTGAGTAAATATGCATAGCAACAGGCTGTAAGTCATTCAAGTAAAAATAAAGGTTATTCTGCCATAGTCTGTCTTTGCAGTCTTTTAAAAACCATTATAATGAGGTGGAGTTTCTAAAGTGAAAATACTTTGTGCATAGATCCTACGAAATTAAATTTTTATCTAATCAATTGGCAAAATTAGCAGGATACATTTAGAGTAGCTTGACACACCTCATCTTGAATACTTGTGCTGTCTTTATTACAGAGATGCCCAATGCCATTATATTAAGTTGCTATGGATCTTAGAACAACCTGCTATCTACCCTGTAGTCTGCTGTGGGCTGCCTGTTCTTTATTAATGCTGTGCAGTTGAGGGCTGCCCTTGCCTTTTGTTTTTATGCTGGTGATTAAAAAAAGTATCTACACACTAGTGTATCACTGCAACCAACAACTCTGGAGGTGACTTTTTTAAAGCTAGTATAAAAGCATGAAGGGCACTTCCTACCAACAGTTATTCCTGTGCAAAGAGTGTGTGGGTCTTATGGCAAAAGCTAATCATGGTGGAGTGTTTCTTGAGCATTTTTTAAAAAATAACCCTCTGAATGGTTTTAGCACAAGTTATGTCTGCTTCCTCTGCAAATGATTTGGTTTCATGTTCTAAACTAGCCCTGAACAGTAGATGAAGTTTTAATACATTCAGCTAAATAAGTTCTACTTTCACATGCCACATTCTACAGCTTCTTAGTGCGGTGGATTTTGTTTGTTCATTTGTTTCTTTTAAATACCAGTTGATGCCCATCCCTCCCTCTCCATCCCAAAAGCAAGGAACAAAAATCAATGCCTCTGTACCCAAGACTCAGAGGCTATTTGCATGCAGTCCCAGCTCAAAGATGGCGCATTTCAAATGCAGCACAGAAATTGTACAGATCTGAAACCCTGTAGTAGTACTTAGAACAAAACAGAGATCAACCTGGTGCAAACCAAGGAACTTAACTGAACTGGTAAAAGAATAATATGACACAAGTGAACCAGAAGTTAAGTATTTTCAAGTCCTATTTTTAATGGGAGAAGTACCTTTATACAAGATCTCTTCTATGGAAATTAATCATATTGAAGTGACAGTCCTGAACGTGAGTTACTGGGGGCTGAGTCCCACAGAATTCAATCCAACATACAGGTCAACCAGCTTAGAAATCCGTGTTTGAAAGTACTTAACTTTGGCTTGTTTTATGTCAACTATCAAGTGCATTTTTGCTCCTAGCACACTTTTAGTTATTGCTCAATAACTTATGAGATAGAACAGAGGAAATACTTTCAATTTAGTTTTATTATAGTATAACATCTGCAACTACAGTTTATTCAGCCAAAATGTATTCCAAATCCATTAAAAAATATCTACATTTTTCTATTTTGAAAAATAAAAGCTGCCTAGTATACCAATACTACTAACAGCACTTGAAAATGGGTGCATTACACATGGATATCCTACTGTAATTTTGTTGCTGTCAGTGTTGTTACCTTTTTCTTCCTCCTCTGTGGCTTTGGTCTTAGGTTTCAAAGAGTTTATTAAAGGCTGCTCCAATTTCTAAAACCATGTCAGAGGCTGTCATAGATCGTCCACATTTTTGAAAGGCTTGGTTGTTGCACTGCCTTGTAAGTGAACATGCTCCAAATGCAGCAACCAGAAAGGGATTTTGACTAAAACAAAGAGAAATCTCAATTAAAACTGATGGGTGTGTGAATGTGCATACCTTCAAGGAACTTTAAAGACTTAATTATTTCTGACATTCTATGTAGGGTCTCTCGTGCAGAGACCTACATTTAGGTATTGCAGATTTGTTTCCTTCTGCCCTGACTCACTGACAAGACAGATTAATTGTGGGCTCTTCAAGCATGCGTTTTACTTGCACCTTCCTCCCCAGTAAGCTTTTACAGTTGTTCATGGAATAAACAGGCTGCTGAAAATGATCCAAGTACCTGGAGTGACTTACCCATTTGTTTTTTCTGGGCCAGCAAGGAAGGCCCAGTGTGCTAGGACTCCAAGAGAACCTGAGAGGAGATCCCCTTGTCCACCACATCTTCTGCTACTTCCCTCATGGCTACATACAAGCACTGGAAAGCAAATATATGAAAAAGGTTGAAAATACCTAGACTTTAAACACTGCTCTTGTGAGAGAAGAGATGTTCAGGAAATATGTACACAAAGCGCAGTAGAAGCCAGAACAATTGAAAAGAAACAAGAATTCAGGTACTAGTTGAATCTTATTCTGTGATCTTTGTCAACAAATAATGTTGTGTATATTGTCCAAACAGGCAAAAAGAGCAGGTTGCTTACCTGTAACTGATGTTCTTCGAGTGGCCATCTGTGCATTCACACATATGGGTGCTGCGCCTGTGCAGTGCCTAGGCCGGAAGATTAGAAAGCTAACAGTTTTTGGCAGGAAGACGCTCCGCTCCCCTCCTCCCTGCAGTATAAATAGAGCGGAGCGTCTGCCATTTTACTGTCTTGAAGACGGACGTCCGCCCCCTAACGTTCGAAAAACAGCATCACAGCTACAAAAATCGGTACTGTAGGAACAACACGGAACCAACAGTAAGAAAAACAGTCCACTCACCAACACCATGCAGGGCCGGCGGGTGGGTTGTGTGAATGCACAGATGGCCACTTGAAGAACATCAGTTACAAGTAAGCAACCTGCTATTCTTCGTCGTGGCCTCTGTGCATCATACATATGGGTGATTAGCAAGCTTACCAGACTTGGAGGAGGGAAGGTGTCATCAGTGAAGAATGGCAGAGAGCACAGCTCTACCAAAGGAACAATCCCTTCTGGTGCGTACATCAAGCCGATAATGCTTGGCGAAAGTACATGCAGCAGCCCAAGTTGCAGCCTTGCAAATATCCTGAATTGGAACTCCTGCTGTAAAGGCTGATGAAGTCACTACTGCTCGCGTAGAATGCCCCCTCAAAAGTGAGGGTAAGTCAAGTTTTGCCAATTGATAATGCTAGGACTATGGTCTGCACAATCCATTTGGACCGTCGCTGAGATGAGACTGGAGAGCCCTTGTCATGAGCAGCATACTTGACAAAAAGTCTATTGGAATTCCTGAACACTTCTGTGTGAGACCTGTAAAAGGCTAGACAGTGCCTAACATCCAGTGTATGGAGAGTGCGCTCAATTGGAGTCGACGGAGATGGAAAAAACGTAGGGAGGACGATGTCTTGGTTCAAATGAAACGGTGTAGCCACCTTGGGAAGAAACTCGGAGTCCATTCGGAGAACGACTTTTTCCTTGTGAAAGTTCAAGAACGGTGGGTCTATGCATAGAGCACATAGTTCACTGGCTCTTCTGGCTGAAGTAACTGCAACAAGGAAGGCAATTTTCCATGAAACTAGGCATAAATCCACTGTTGCCAAAGGTTCAAATGGAGGTTTTGTAAGGGCCTGAAGTACAACAGAAAGACTCCACGTCAGCATAATAGGTTGAACCGACGGGTGCAAATTTTGAAGTCCTTTAAGGAACGGCGAATCAGGGGTTGAGAAAAAACAGATGACCCCTTGATGCTACCACGAAAATGCGAGATAGCAGCCGTACAGATCTTTATAGATGAAAGCTTGAGTCCCGAGCGATGAAGGTCGAATAGAAATTGCAAAATATTCTTGATCGAAGCCGACTCCGGAGAGAAGGAACGGGCATCGGCAAAGGAAGAGAATCTTCTCCACTTTGCTGAATACGATTTGCATGTGGAAGGTCGTAGTGCAGATTCAAGAACTGCCTGGATATCCGAGGATAACACTATCGGTCCCGAAATGGACCTTGACGGTTCCGAGGAAGGAGTTGGTTGTGTCGATCGGGACGGCAACGGAGCCGACGGAAAATTCAGATCTATTGGAAGCACCACACTGTTAGTTTCAGCGAGAGTAGGTCCGGGTGTCGGACTGTCCTGTTGTGTTAACAGATGAGGAACAAGTGGAAGTAGTTGAAAAACTCCTCCGAACTGAGTGAAGAGAGTGGTGAACCAGGGTTGCCTTGGCCACCATGGGGTTATCAGAATTCCTGTGGCATTGTTGTGCACGATCTTCGACACTACCTTCGTGAGGAGTGGGACTGGAGGGAACGCGTAGAAGAACACGTTGTTCCAGTCGATCATTAGGGCATCTCCCCTTGAGTCCAGTCCCAGCCCTGCTCTGGAGCAAAACAGTTCGCACACCCTGTTCGACCAGGTCGCGAACAAGTCTATATCCGGTTTATTTATTTATTTATTAAAACATTTTTATGCCGCCCCATTCGCCGAAGCCTCGGGGCGGCTTACAACAATTAGTTAAATAATTATAATTAAAAATATAAACATTAAAATAAAATACATACAATATAAAATAAGCCACCCTGGCCAGATAAAATTCAGTAATATTAACATTTAAAATGCTGCTTAAATAAAAAGGTCTTCACCTGGCGCCGAAAAACAAATAACGACGGTGCCAGGCAGACCTCTCTGGGGAGCACATTCCATAACTTAGGCGCCACCGCTGAGAAAGCCCTCCACCGAGTACCCACCCTCCTAATTACTTTCACGGAGGGTTCCTGGAGAAGGGCCTCTCCCACCTGGAACAGCTGGTTACAAACCACTCGATCCAACTCCCATTTGTGGGTAGTTGACATCTGTCGGCTCAATGCGTTGGCTTCTACGTTGTCGGTTCCCACAAAATGAACCGCCAGCATCGTGATGTCTTGAGGAATGCACCAGACCCAGATTTGCATTGACAAACGGGCCAGGAGAGGTGACTTTGTCCCGCCCTGTTTGTTGACGTAGAAAACAGCAGCTATGCTGTAAGACGCAATCTGTACAACTTGGCGGTGTAAGACGGTTTCGAAAGATTTGAGAGCGTTGAAAATCGCTAGAAGCTCGAGGAAGTTGATATGCCTCGCTGCTTTCCGTCGGGTCCATGCCCCTTGGACCCGAAGTCCTGCACATGTTGCACCCCATCTGATGAGAGACGCATCGGTGTACATTGTCACTGTCGGTTGGGGTGGGTGGAACGGAACGCCTACAGATAGGTTGCGTGAAATTGTCCACCACGTCAGGGTGTGAAGGATCGAAGATGAAATCCGCAGAAGCTTGGTTTGTAGATCCCGCTGCGGATGGAATGAGTTGAAAAATAATTGGAGTGGGCGGAGCCTGAGCCTTGCGTGCGGCACAATGGCCACTGAGGCTGCCATGTGTCCCAACAATCTTTGTATAGTGATGGCTTGAACTGTCCTTTGTCATCAAATCCAATGGATGTGCGTACACAGGGTGGCCCTGCAGGACGGAGGAAGGAACGCTCTTTGCAGGGTGGAGTCGATACGTGCTCTGATGAAATTGATGACCTGCGCGGGAATAAGTGACAATTTCTTAAGGTTAATATGGAGTCCGAGGTCATCAAGTAAAGCACAAGTCACATGGACAGCCGCGAGAAGGTTGTCTTTAGTCCGTGACACAATTAGCCAATCATCTAAATAGGGGTAGACCTGTATGCCCCGGAGCCGTAGGTGGGCACAAACCGGGGCCATGCCCTTTGTAAAGACACTCGGTGCCATAGCCAGTCCGAATGGTAGAACATTGAATTCAAAAATATCGGATCCAACAGTAAAATGAAGGAAGCGTCTATGGGAAGGATGGACAGAAATATGAAAATACGCATCCTTCAAGTCCAATGAGGCGAACCAATCCCCTTCCCTCAGCAACGGAAGAATATTCTGTAAAGTGGTCATCCGGAACTTCCTCGGTTTGATATATCTATTGACTCCTCTTAGATCCAGGATAGGTCGAAGACCACCGTCCCGTTTGGGGACTGTAAAATATCTAGAATAGAATCCGTGTAGCCCATCAGTGCAAGAGAGTTGTCGAATCACTCCCTTATGAAGAAGGTGAAGGACTTCATCGCACAGAACCGAAGATGGCGGTGTAAATTGGATAGGGCTCGACGGTGGAACGATGTCGAATTCTATTCTATATCTGAGCTGAATGATGGACAGCACCCACCTATCAGATGTAATGGCCTCCCAAATGGGAAGTCGGCTTTGGAGCCGACTCCCAAAGGGTAGAGGGGAAGGTGGGAGGTGGAGAGATGAATTGGTTCACTGGGACCATCAACGGGGATGTTTCTCGGTGTTGAACCGCCTATGGCCCTGGGAGAAGCGCTGTTGAGGCTGTTGCCTTCTACATTGCTGGCGCTGGTGGAACTGCTGGCGAGGCTGATATTGCTGGTGCCCGTAGGATCTGTACCATGGCCACTTGTGTTTTGCTTATGGGAGTTCCATTCGACGGGCCGTCATACGGGACTCGTGGATGGCTTTGAGTTTCCGATCGGTCTTCGCGTGGAAGGGGCCGGAGCCATCGAATGGCATTTCTTCTATCCTCCTCTTCATTTCCTCAGGGAAATTGCAGTTCCTGAGCCACGCGTGTCATTGGAGGGAGATAGCGTTGACCATGGCCTGAGAATCAAGTGTCTACGTGATGTCTCGCAGTAGACAACTGTTGAATGGCCACCTGCTTCACTTCGTTTAAGAAGACCTTGGCTAGGTCTGCCTGCTGGTCCGGGAGGGAGGAGACGACGTTTTCCAGCTTCTGCATAATGAAGTACTGGTAACGTGCCAGTGTAGCCTCATAATTTGAAATACGCAAACTGAGTCCTGCAGCCGCGTAGACCTGGGCGCGCAATCATGTCAACCTTCCTCCTTTCCTTATCTCGGGGTGTTCTATGTCCCCGAGCCTCCCTGCCCTGGGACGACTCTACCACCACCCAAATTAGGCTTCGGATGGCGCATCAGGAATGGGATGTCGTCTTCTCAGACCTGGTACATAGATTCGTACTGGCGAGACGTCGCCTGCGGCTGAGCTGGTTGGTCCCAGGGCTGAACCATTGCCTGGTGAAGCATGGTACTCAATGGTAAGGCAATGGTAGCGGATTGCTCCCCTCAGACGATGTCGTAAAACTGGTCTGTGCTGGGCCCGGTGCGGTGGTAGGCCTCTATCTCCAGCGACCGGACTAGACGAGAAACCAGCTCTGAGAAAGAAACATGGGGCTCATCCGGGGATCCCGGGTCTTGGGAAGTAATAGCCACGTCCGGAGACGTGGAGTCTACTTCTGACTCGTCCGAGTCTTGATGGTAGCGGTAATGCTCACTGGACGAAGAGCTTTCAGGAGATGGTGGAGGTCTGCGTTCCATATGGCCAGAAGTGGATGGTGCCTCTCTTGGGATCGACGGCGAGCGACGGTCCAGAGGAAAAAAGGCATATGGATAGTGTCCACTCCAGGCAGGATAGCCACCATAGCCGTGCATAGCCCAGTCATCTGCATGGCGCTCCGACGAACAGCTCCTGTGCCTGGGAGGAGAGTCTGGTCCCTCAGGTGGCCCAACAGCAGGCATTGGCGTTGGGGAGCGTTGCCTCGGCGGGGAATCTCTAATTTCTCCATCAGATATGGACTCCCTCAGCGGTGGCTCCTGTGGAGAAGACACGCTCTCAGGCCGAAGAACAGGCCTGGGAGATCCCGGTGGCGTCACCTGCATTGTGGACTGCAGGGCCGGTCCCGAGGGAGTCGGTACTGTGGTGGCAGTCCATACCGAGAACCCCGACGAACCTGAGCCTCGGTGTTTGGGGCGATCGGGTTTCTTGCCCTTGTGGGCTGCCTTAGCCACCTTTTCTTTCCTCGGCTTCTTATGGCCGGAGGGCCTTTCCGGCTCTGAATGCTTACGCTTCTCCTTTTGTTTGGCTGGAGGAGAGGGTAGCTGTTGCGCTTCCATTAGAGCAGCGCCTTCATCCGAAGGGTGCTGCGGCGGCGCAGTCGAAGTTGAGGTGGGGCGCTTAGGGGGCGCGGCCGGGGTAGAGGTGGAGCACTGAGGCGGCGCAGCCGAGGAGGGGGTAGGCCTTGAGACCAACTGGTCAGATTGAAGCAAGGCCTGGTCCCAAAGTAACTTACGGAGACGACTCTCCCTATTCTTCCTGGCCTGTTTGGTAAAGGCCAGGCAATGCCTGCACTTATCAGTCCTATGCCCCTCACCGAGGCAGAGGAGGCACAAGTCATGCGGGTCCGTGGGAGACATTTTGGAGCTGCACTCACTACACTTGCGGAATGCCGCCTGCTGTGCCATCGCAAAAAGGAAAAAAGAGATAATAGTACAGAGGATAAGTAATATTTTTGGTTTTTTTTTTTAGAGAAAGAATGAACAGAGGAACTACAACTAGGAAAAGAGAAAGTGGGATATATAACGAGGAAAAGGTAAGTTGAATAAGATAACCGTAAAGGAGCACGTGGCGAGATCTAAGCGAGAGACGAGCAGGCATGAGGCACAGCGAACGGCGGTCGCAGAGACTGAGTAAAATGGCGGACGCTCCATTTATACTGCAGTGGGGAGGGTTAAAACCGTTAGCTTTCTAATCTTCCGGCCTAGGCACTGCGCAGGCGCAGCACCCATACGTGTGATGCACAGAGGCCACGACGAAGAATTGAACATACCTTCCCTCATACAGGCCTGGTTTTCACATTGTAACAAACAACTGTCAAGAAACTGAATAGCCTTCTGTGTTGGTCCCTGAGCACCTAATCAGGCCCCCTGCACTATACAGTCCACGGATGCTAGGATGTTTATCATGACATGTGAACCTAGTGTAACCCAGAGTTCTGGGTTCAGATGTCATGATATACAATGCTGGAATAAAGTACAGCTGCAGTGGGCAGGTACTAACAAGCATCTAACAAAGTACACATAACAGCAGAAATTTTCTTCAAGTTCAAATACCCATCCAAGGAAGCTGGGACAACAAAGTGCCTGTCGCTCAGTGGCAGCGTGCCTGCTTTTTATGCAGAACGTCCCAAGGTCAGTCCCCAGCATTTCCAGGTACCATTCAGGAAGAAGCCTGTCTGAGGCCCTGGAAAGATGCTTGCCAGTCAGTTTCAACCATACTAGGCTAGCTGTATCTATGGGTCTATGGCAGGATTCCAATGTTCCTGGACTGCAAAGCAGAGTTTAAACACTACAGCAGCAGATTAACTGAAAAAAGGGTGGATGAGGTCCCCTGGAAGACACATGATCTGTTGTTCTCCCCTCCCTTTCTGAGGGAAAAGAAGAGGAAGCATCAGAAACCAAGCAGCAAGTCCATCTGAACTCCATGAGTCTTACTACCAGGTTAACTGTGCATTGCCTCAGTCATGTTGCTACTGTAGAAACAAAAAAGTCGAATTTCTCCTTCCCTCCACTCACCATTAACTGTTAATCTGGCCAACAGAATTTAGGAGCCAAGAGATTATGTGTTGTGAACTTTGCAGCTTGATGCTTTACTAGGGTCCGGCAGGCCTAAAAGTAAAATTGTGGTAGACTAGTGGGTTGTTTGTAATGTGGCAAATGCAGGAAGAAAAGGACTTAATTGGTTTGATGGGAGATAGTCAGTGCAATCCTATGCAATCCTCGAAAGTCAGTTCTGCTGTGTTCAAAAGGATGTGTCCAAGTAATCAGTGATTTACTGTAATCATTTACTGTAAACAAAGTAAATTTGCTTAGTATCCTTACTTTAGTTGCAAACATATGTGCGCTAAATGGAAATCCTTAATTTCATGATTATCTGGTGCAAAGGTCATGGGGGTTATATGATTACAGAGATAATTTTTGGATTATGCTCTTAGTTATGGAAAATGTCTGTGTTTCATTTGTTAATGTTTCATTTATTCTAACAAGAAGTAGTATGCACACAGCCTTGCTCCAAAAAACAAAACAAAACAAACAAAAAAATGGTATAACAAAGCTGGAAGTGTCTGATTATTTAAACTGTAATGTAAACTTTGGTTTAAATTACTCCACCTTAACTTTACCAGACTCTGCGGTGATCTGAAAAATCTTGCACAGATATCTGTGCAGGACATTTTAGGCAAGTGACATCCAAGAGTAGTATGTAATATGAACAGAAGTAACATTGTTTCTGTAATATTAGAGACTAGCCTATAAAAGCTTCTAAATCAAATGGTGGGGGGTGGGAATTAAGAATAGGTGGTGCCAAAAGGATAGGATAAGAGGGGCCTAGTTACTCCCTTGTATTTCTAGATTTAAGAATGGGCAAAGTTTTATTTACATAATCTGTTAGTGGCAAGGGCTGAGATATATTTGCCTTATTTCTGCATGACTAATTCTTTGTGTGTTTGTGTGCATACACCTACAGACATTCTAGATGAATAATGCACAATCCACTTTGGTTTATGTCAGCCCAGCTTGTCTCCTGAGGTTTCACAGTTCACCATTCCTTCTTCCTGGTTGGGCCATGATAAAATTTGGGCACAAGTAGCTCTGTGCTTTGTTAGTGTTAACTTTTTTGAGAAATGCTTTTAGTTAGACCTGCCCAGAGAGCCTTTTTGGCTAATGGGGTGGGATATACATTATAAATAATAATAAAAATAATCCAAACATAGCCATACTTAAAGTGAACTCACTGAAACCAATGGGACCTAAATTGCATTTATCTCAGTAAGTATACTCCAAGTAAGACTAAGTCAGGATTTGGTACGACATATTACACAAGATTACATTTCCTTTGTAATTAACCATTAATTTCTAAAATTCTGAGCTCTTACAGCAAAAATATCTATTTTATTATTATACAAAGCTTATGTTTCTTTATAAAACAGCTCCAGCAACTACTTTTTCTATATCTATTAATCATAAAGTTTATTGCTGTTTCAATTCTCATATTCTAATATTCATAGTTTTACCATATATTGTGAATCAATTTTTGGCCAGCATCTAACAAATGATCTAGTATACTTGCTTTTCTAAAACTGACTGCATTTTTAATTTGCAATATTAAATATATGCTTATGCAGCTTCATTGTTGTTTCCTGATAGTGGAACAACAAAAATTAATTTATACAAAGCTTTGCTATGTATTTCCTTCACTTACCCTTCTCTCCATCTGAAATCAGATCTCGTTCTCCTTTCTGAACAATTGTCAAATTCCCCAAGGCTTGGCTGAGCCTTAGCAGACATCCATGATGATCATTGCTATCTACAGGGTCTCTAAGCTAAGACAGATGAAGAGAAATCACACAGAATTAAATATTTCATTCAGTGACGTGATGGTGTAAACCACTATTCCATGTAGCTGTCCTACCAGAAAACCCAGCTACTCCCACACCAATCCTGCATTAGAGCACTATCACATTCAAGTTTGATTTAAGCATTAATAATGCTACATGCAGTTTTGCTCTTGATTTTTCTTCACTAAAAAAATGAACTCACCATAGCTTCATAGAGTCTGCTAAATTCCATAGCATTTGGAGTAAGAATAGCTCGAGGATAACCCTGAATAAGAGAAGGCTGTTGGGCAATCAGCCATAAACCATCCTGCACAGAACAGTAAGAAACAACATTTACTGACAAGAATAACATCAAACAAACTAATGGAAACATAATACTTACAGCATCAATTATAATGGGAATCCCTTTGAGCTTCGATTTTTCTATAATCCCCTGTTTAAAGAAAGGGAACTATTTTAAAATGTATAGCTTTTAATAAGAAAATGTAAAAAAATTCTCCTATTATATAACGTAATCCATGGTGACTGAAAAGTGGTCTAGATGTGTTTCAGATAAAATAAATAATTCCTAGTTTCAAAGTAAAGATTAAGAAAGAACTACTTCTTTTAAACTTAGTCTGTGTGGCACGTGTTCAAGTACTCAGTAGTGGCACTTTTCCTCCTTACTGCATTTTCTAGTAACAAATGTGTACAAGGGTAGCTTCATACCCCTATTTTTAACACATCCAATTTTCACCTAGATCTGTGGCAAAAACCCACAACCCTACTGTAAGTTAAAACCATGTGCAAAAAGCCACTCTGAGTCCAAGCCACAGTATAGTTTGACAAAGAACAAACACCCCTTAAGGATAAAATGCACTGTCGTACTACCTTTATAATCATGCTTACAAATTCACTTCACTTCAAGTTGTTGTACGTGTAGCTTCAGCAACTAAGAACAAGCTCCACAAATGAAAGTTTGTCTTTATTTTGGTATTTTCTCACCACTGCTTTAGAAAATCATCTAGAGTTAAATCACATCTGTCCTTCCCATCCCCCCCCCCCGCCCCACACACACTTTTATTGCTTGTGTGCAGCAACAAGCATGGCAGAATTCCTCATGTTGTGATCTTGGTCATGAACCCAAGAACCCAAATTTCTAAGTAAATTCTCAATCTCTAGATGGCCACCAGCAGGGCATAGGCGAGGCAGCAGTCAGAGTCGGGATTTAAGAATGGAGTCCTGAAAAAATACCTAGTAACATCTCTGCCCCTAACAGTACTTACAGAAGTACAACTTTAGAAAACAGCTGATCTTTGTAGTCTGCAAGAGTTTTACCAATTGGAGCTGCTAATTTTACACTTTAAGTATTATCATTGATTTCCAGTAACACAAGCAAGCCATGATGTCCAAATAATTTCATTAACAGAACAAGATGAGTACACTAAACATAATTACTGCACAAGACATCAGAATCCAAATAACCTTGGCATTCTCAAGCAGTCTATCATCTCTTCCCAATCCAGGTCCTATGACAACTGAGTGTAGTCGCGGTAGCCACTTTTCCACTTCATGAACAGCATCAGGACTGTCCCTAAAGGGTGGAAATGGAGTACAGACCATCTTGTTTTCAAAGGTTTGATTCAATTCAGTGTAGCTGACGCTGCCACCTCTCAAAGCCCTTGCCTGTAAAACAATAACCACCAACCTGCCAAACAAATCACTAAGCCATTTTATTCCTGCACATATCCAAAACCAAGTTATACCGATAACAGAAAGTGATAGCATATTTTGTCACTTCCCTTTCCAGAAAACTTGAACCAATAAGCTCACATGACAGGCCAGCCTTCTGCAACATGGCATTCTCCAGAAATACTGGACTACACTTCTCAGAATCAGCTTCTGTATCAGCTACATTATGGAAAATGTAGTCCATCACTTCTGAAGAGTGGAAGGTTGTGACAGACTGTAATACATCCAGCTGTTCCTGTAAAAACAATGGGGCAGGTGGACAACAATTTGTTCCTATGACAAGAGAGTGATGCATTGCTATCACTGCACAAGGAGAAGTCAGCAAAGTTTGCCTTTTTCAAAAGCACCCAGAATTTACATGTGAGAATTGCCGTAACAAATCAGGTCCCTGTTGCAGACTTAGTCTTTGAAAAGTAAGTGATTTTTAACCCTGTTATTCAGAAGCCGCTACCATTCAACGTAAAGTACATTTTATTTAACTGTAACTGCCAAAGACTGAGAAGAAAAGAAGCCACTCTGCCTCGGAACTGTTTTCTATTTTAGCTACAGTATATGGTAATATATAAACCAACATGGGAAGAATATTCCAGCTGCCTGTGAAGCTGGCAACTGAAAGCAGGAAGGTAAGCAAATAATCCCACTAGAATAGCTGTCTGGCAGGCATATTTCCTTTTTAAATTCAGGAAGGTGAAAGGAGGAATTCCCATGTAGTGCATATTCCTCTCCCTTGGTCTGATATGCCACTCTTTTCCCCATTTTACTTTCTGGAAATACATTTTCAATTTAAATCCTCATCTTTAAGTTTCTAACCATCGGTATTCCAGTGACCAACCACTAAAATAGGTAAACATTCAGGTTATCTTTAGCATACAGCTTTGTGCAACAGGTTGCCAGGAAAGGAGCCATTCACATCATTCTTGGTGCTTTTGTAAAATAATTGTAGCTAATAAATCCTCTCTGTCCTTTGCATCCTGTGTAATATACCCTGGCCTAGCACGGAAGCATGAATGCCTATGTGGAGATACATGGGCTGCAGTTCAGTGCCAACAGTGGTACAAAAGGACTGTTCCTTTTAACTGGTACAGGGCCCTTAGCTCTGAATTTATGAGATGCTAATACAAGTTCTGCCCAAGAAGCTTTGAGAGATACATAAAAGGAGGACAGTCAAACAAACAAGAATACTTACAGAACTGGGTGAACAATCAGCTCTGGGCTGTAAGACTTTATTACAGTTGCTGCATCTTTGGTACAAAATACATGGGATAAATCTGCACCCTAAGGATATTAACAGATAGTTATTAATTTGTGTTGCCAGTGCTAAATCATTAAGCAGAAACCATTCATATAAAACTAATTAGTACTCAAAGAAAACCAGCGTCTTGCCTTCTAGTTTCATTCTGTTACATAACTTTGTTCTACACATCCCTGCATAACAAAACCAATATTCCAAACAGCCTTATGTTCAAATAAGGTTCACTTTCAGTGAAACAAATTTGTTTAGAATCAAAAGTATGTAAAGTTCATTCCCAAAATTCTGTAACACTCCAGAAAAACTGGAGTACAGTCACACTTACCTTCTCAAGCATGAGTAGTTTGTTCCAACAGTAACTTGGACAGTGAAGTACTTTAAGTTGGTAGGTGCAAATGCATCTAAAGCATACAGGAGTTAACTCCACGCTGAGTTACTGATGCAGAAATTTTAAAAAGGACATTACTGCTGAAGAAACTACGGTAACCAAAAATGCAATCCTACATAGTATATAACAGCAATTTACACTTTTATTATTAAAAAGTTAGCATTCGTAAAAGTGGCCATCTCAAGGCACAGCCTGCTGTTATCACCATATCCAAGTCTGACTAGTTCCAAAGTGTTGTATTTATTTTATTTATTTATTTAAAACATTTCTATGCTGCCCCCATCGCAACAAAGCCTCGGGGCAGCTCACACTCACATATGCACTCTTGACATATTAGTGGTATAAACTGCACTTGCCCATGACCCAGAACTGGGTTCAGTGCATTTTAAGTTGCTGTTTTTACTGGGCTTAAGCACATTTAAGTCTTGGGAAACTAACCATACACTTCCAAGTTAGGAGAAAACATACCACTTTGAGAGCTGAAATTGCAGCAAAATACGGTGCCCCTGTATACCTAAAAATGGGAGAAAAAAAGTTCATCTTAGAAAGTATGTTTACTTTGCTATCACTTTGATGAACAAGAATGAAGATTCCTTCCTGTTTATTACATAACTTAAAGCTTATTAATAATAAAGAGTGAATAATATTAATAGAAAAGTTTCAACCTACAGTCAATTTACATGATCAGTTAATGTGGACTTATAAATTGATGAAATCCTATCATATCAATAGCTTGCATCTGTTGGTGATCTCTGTTGACATAAAGCAACTTTATCCATGATAACAAATCCAAAATTGTTTGGTTGCATGCTAAAGCTATAATACAGTTATGCTTATCTCGTAAACATGATTCTATAGCTGCTTTTAAACCACTGGAGGAACTCTGGGCCACTGAGTATCAGACTTATTTTCTAGTCAAGTCAGAAGCTCTTTTAAATTCAAGAAGAATTATGCAGTATGTCCGATGTTAAAAATAAGAATTAATTATTAGTGCTACATAAGATTAATAACCCCATGTTAGGGAGGGAGTAGCAGCAGGCTTCCAGAGTAGCAGAACCGGAACGCTTGTCTGGCACCGAGGATGTGGAAAATGTTTTATAACTAGTTCAGTATAGAACTACAACACTGGGGATTAGGAATCGACTTTCCAAGAAGTAATGAACATTTTAGGTCCTCAAAGCATTACCAAGAGAGCCTGGGATCTTTTGTCCCTTGGCAGGCATCCCAGAGACCATGGAATGGGTTGGAAAACCCCTACCAAGGATGCAGTGCTACAACTTCAGAAGGAAGCGCCATAGCTGGTGTGGAAATGACTGCTGCTTCTTCAAGGTCAGAAAAACACTCTCTTCAGAGAAGGCATAAAGAGCATTACAGGGAATGGGGAGCATACTGGAGAGGCCAGGACAGGATTTATCCTGAGCATCCTCCAGCATCCTTCCCTATTCTTCCAGAGTGCCCTGTCTAGATGGGCTAAAAGCCCTTCTAGCAAAAACTCGTATCACAGAGCAGGGAGACAAAGTTTGCCTCTGCCCCTTCTCCCAGGCAGCCAGCTTCAGTCCACAGGGCACAGGAAAACTCAGCAGCTTAAAGGTTCTGGGGCATCTGAGCAGAACAACCCACAGGACTGTTGCCCATCTTATAGCAAGAATATTCAGGAAGTGTCCATTCTGCACCCAGATGAAACCAAACCGAAGGGGAACCAAAGGAGATGAGGATGGGAAATGGGAGCACATGCAGACACAGTCCTAATAGTTAAACTATGGTTTGGCACTGATATTTTAACTGGACTGTTGGTTATATGCGTGTCTAATGCCTTTATCAGCAATGCCCTGTAAAAAGCCCTAAGTTGGTCACCTATAATTGTAGGAATTGGATTCAAATCAGCATGCAATGAAGCAAATCTTTTATAAACTGGAAAAGAATTATCTCCTACTTTCAAGATACGAAAGTAAGTAACAATTGTATGTATGTGAGGGCTACTACAACGTTTTGTAATCTAGCAGTAGTTATAAACAACTTTGCAAGAATGATTCACATTTTCATTTAACTTACTCTTGGCATCCTCCAACAATTCCTATTCGTCCATCTTGGCCTTTATGTTTTTTGGCAGTTAGAGGAGGAATAACATTTCGCACCAATTGAAATATATTCTCCATTTCCTTTATAGAATGTGTTTTGTGCACTGAAAAGGATCGCTCTATAACTGAAAAAAGACATTTCATTATTTCAAAAATGAGCTTCAAGATGTTGAACGAATTCACTTATAAGTTTATAACATGAATTTAGACGCACTTCCAAATTACAGTCCTATTTTTATTTACTTAATTACTACATTGTACACACATCTACACCTTGCTCACTACTAATGTGAGTTAAATGGAGAATGTATGCTTGTCTTTACTAGACTAGTTAAAGCAGGAATGTGAAACTTCTTTTAGCCTCAGGGATGAACATTTCAGGGGCTCCATTCCAGTGATGGGCAGGGCTGAAATATCAAAAAGTAAAGTTCTTCTAGTCAGTAACTTAGCTGTAGGAGAAGCATTTCAAACTTTTAGAAAGAGGAAAAGCAAACATGTTTCATGAGAAACCATGAAATGATCTGTGTGCGTGTGTCCGTGCATATGGCCTTCTGAGGAATGAACTGAGGCCTCGGCCAGGCTTTATTTGGCCTGACCTTCAACACTCCTGGGCTAAACCTCACTAAGCATTCTCCTCAACCAAGGAAACTGAGATAAAAGCATTTCTCTAGCTCCACAGATGCAAAAGTTAGGGTATTTGTTTCCAGGGGTCAGCTTCTCATGTTCCCAAGATGGGTGCTGTCAGATGTTTCTGTACAGGAAGCATTTACAGAAAATGTACATACTTGTAGCTTCTGCCAAGACACTTCTTTACATACAGTTAAAAAAAATCAACATATAAAATTTACAGCTCATAGCTGATTCTATGCTAATCCCTGTATCATGTGAGCTGAAGCAGCATGCATAGTATTCTGCAAATAGCATCTAAAGGGACTGAAATCAATTCCTTCATTTGCCTACACTTGTCTAGTCAGAAGCATGTCCCACTGAACCTAAGAGAAAACTACAGCCTCAGTGCAATTTGAAAGTATCCCTTGAAATTATGGGAGAACTAGGCAAGACACTATACACACCATTCTAGTACTAACTTGCATGCACTTACCTCTAAGTCAACAATGATATCAAACCATTAAAAAAGCTTATTTGTCAAGACTTGCCTACTGGCTTTGTCAAACAGGCATCATGATTGTGTATATGGAATCAGGAATGGGAATACAAGTGAGGGTAAAGTGTCTCATTCCTAGCCTAAAAGCTCTTATGATGAACTCCAAATAATAATTACCCCTCTTTCCCATTCATCCAGTTACACTTGTTGCAATCCAGATGCAACTAATTCCTACGATCGGAAGAACCGTGGTGAGCAGGGGAAACTTATGCTGGTAAAAAGCATGGGGTGGGATCTTAACCACTTAAATCTCAAAATGCAAATCAGAAAAAAATAAAAATTGTCTCAGGTAATCTGCGTTATGATAGATTTTTTTTAAAAGCACATCTATAGAGAATGAGTCAGTGATTAGGAGTATAACATACAGGCTTCCTAGAAATAAATGGATATAGATTCAAGGACCAATTCAAGATAAGCGACAAAAAAAGTCATCTTCTACGTTCCCGCTGCTTTGATACTTCCAACTGAAAGTTTCTGTTACACAATTATTAGCTATCAGATTGTTACTGTTCAAAGTATACCCTACAGAATAAAAGAAAAAAAAATCAAATTATGCTGAGAAAAATCTGACTAAAAGTACTAAATTTCCTGGGGGTGGGGGCACACATATGAAAAAGTTTGTATCAAAACAAGGAAATCCCAAAGAGAGCATTAGCAAAATGGCTTTGACTCCACCTTTGATTCAACCATTTCCATAACCAGATTTCTTAATATCTGCTAGAAAAGCATCTTTACAGGGCAATAATCTTAGCTCATCTTTTGCACTACATTTTTTGAAACAAATACATTCAACTTCTACTGATATTCTATCCAATATCTAGAACATAAACGGAATACTAGTGAATACAGCACAATTTATTCCAGTTGCAATTATTTCATTTTTGTATACCAAAATAATATAGATGTCAGAATAAAGTATAAAGCCACAAACTAAAAATGTAGATTCCTAGACAAATGGGCAAGGGTCGACAGATCTGAAATTGTTTAATAAAATTGGAAACAGCATTACTGCAAGAATTGGGATACCATCATCTTAGTTCTTTAATAGCCAGAAAACTAATGTATTGTCCTATATTTATTTTTCTACTTTCTAGAATTACAAATTATCTTGTTATTTTCTTTCAGGAATTTGGGGTTTTATCTATTTCCCAATGCCTTAATATATTAGTACTTAAATGCCATTAATTTGCAATATAGATTGGATAATCAGATTGTGAAATTAAAATGGCAGTTACTGAAGGTTTGAAAACAAGTTGTAGTGTACCTAGAATATAAGAGCACAGCATCATTTAGTGTAGATTAGTAACCTAAAAACATGCTGTCATACAGAAGGCAGAAAAAAGGTAACTTCCACATACATTCAATAGATGCTTATTCAGTGCTACTGAGTAAAGGACCGGAGGCTCCAGATATCCATTTATAGCACAACTGTATGTATATTTACTAAGAAGTTATGTCCTTCCGTGTCTAATGGGGCTTACTCACTAGGAAGTGTTCAGGGTTACAGCCTCAGAATACAACACCTGATGTTCTCTGAGTAGAGCCTACATTTAAACCTAGGTTGCCTTCTACATAAGCTCAGGTTGAATGGAAATATACAAGGTTAGCAAGTTTTGTATATTTTCAAATTGTGTCTATGGAATCCTCAAATGCCAAGAAAACAAAAAATAACCTTTTCAGCGTTACTAATCATGTTCTACAAGATGCAGTTGGATAGAAGTATTAAACACACTCTTACGGGGCACACATGATGAGGATGAGATGACATATCTGACAACTTTGTAGCCTGTACAAATTTGGCATGTCCTTGCACAAACCTGTGACAGACCTGGGTCCCACAACAACTATATTTATATGGAAACGGTTGCCTGACATAGGAAGCTTGAACTTCACTGCATTGTAGATAAAAAGTCTACTCCTCCACAAGTGTGATATATTCTATTGTATCAAAAGAATCTTATTTAAGCTGTGCAGGAATATAAGCTAACTAAGGTGTGATATCTTTCTGGATCCAGTCAAAGAAATAAGATAAGCTCATACAGTGAAATTTTCAAAATCTATGTGGCGAAAAAGGTATGATTCCCAGTAGAATGCAGACTCATCAACTTGCTGAAGTAAGATTTTAGGGAGATAATTTCAAGAGTGACATTATTTGGTCAGAGCTAATGATCAGCGTAAAAGTGCAGTATCTGAAGGATTTATTCTAATTCCTAGTACTTCCGTGTATGAAGTACAATAGCATATAAGTTATTAAAAACTAAAACCAGTCATATTCTAATAAATTAACATCTACTGTAATTATTCATGTTTTAATGATTATTCATAACTATTCATAAATAATTCATAATGTCCATTCTAAATGCCAATACCGATTCAAGTGGAAACACACACTACCATTCCAACTATTATTTCCAAAACTTCTATGAAAGAACATCAGGCCATATAGATTTTACTATCAAAGTGAACAAAATTCCTCCTTTAGCCCACTAAAATCACAACTAATCACCTTGCATCTTTAAAAAGTCTGTGCTATGCAAACTACTTTAAGTCCTCATAAAGCACTACTTTAAGCAGAGTGTTTTGATTTTGTGGATCCCAGAACTTCCCAGTTATAAACTTTCACCACCAATATGCATGTAAGGTTTAACTACCAGGTCCAGACATCATTTAAGGAATAGAAAAAAGTACCTAGGGGTGGAGAGAGTGGTGTTGTCATAGAATTATAGCTAAAATTATCTCCGTATGATCTGTGATTTGATCTCTGTGAAGGACTGCTTGGTATACATGGTGACCTCTGTGAAACTGTAGAAGAAATTCCTGCTAACATTTGTCCCAACATCTGCAACATTTGTAGCTCCCTAGCATGCTCAGCTTCACGCCGTTTGTCTTCAATTTTAAGCCGCTGTTCCTCATACTTGTAAAATTTCTCTTCAGTATCCATGCTTTGTTGCAGAAACTTCTCCATCATTTTGTCCAGTGTTAAGTTTGCATGCCTTTTTTTTGATTTTTTAGCCTGAGATAATAAGGGTGGTGCATTGGTGTGAGCATTAATTTGTTTAAAACCTAAAACAAAAGTAGATACATTAATTGCTCATGTTTTGAACAGACTTAGATAGTTGGATAAGTAGTGAAGAGTACCCCACATCATTCTAGGTACCAGTTCAACATATGTATATTTTATACTGTGTAGTAACTCTATTCAACCTTTGTAATTATGGTTTTACAACCATAACTACTTGTTATACTGAGTAACTGCAGTACGAAGTGAAAAATTTGTGACTATATTATCTGTCAAAGGATTTAATGGTTTCCAGTAATCTGTCCTCATTTAAACTGTAATCCTAAATGCATTTACTAGAGAGTAAACTCCACTGAAAGCAGTGGAGCTTAATCTGAGTAAACATACAATAGCATTGTGTGATCCTTTAAGTATTTAAATTCAGTTTTAACAGATTTGTGTACTGTGGGTAATTGCCCAATTGACCATGCATTACAAAGGGTACAACTGTGAACAATTCTCCTTTGATGTTATTTATGTGTAAAACAGCATTTGTTTTAAGAGCCAGCCAATTGGCTTTAGCATGTCAGCTTTTTCAGCCACATATATACAGAAGGGATAGCCACAGGTGCATGACTTGGATTCAAATAAATGAAACCAGTAAAAAGTTTAGAGAGCAAAAGGAAGATTCTAGTTTTGATTTCCTCCCCCACCCCCCACCCCCAAAAAAGGCAGGTAAAGCACATATACATGTACAGAAAAGACAGCTATAAGTATACATGCCACTGCTCCTACAATCCATGTGCATGGAAGAATTCAAACTATTTATGGAAAAGGCTTGTTAAGGTTTAGTCTGAATAATGTACCCAGCTGTTAAAACTGGGGAGAATTGTTCATATTTGAAAGGAAAGGTCTTTTTATCCCTTTCTGGGTAAGAGGCGGGGTTTCCTAGCCTTTTGGTGGTAGCTTTGAAGGCTTCACCAACTGCCTGATCTCCCAATAGAAGCATGAGTTCTGCTGTTCAGAACTCTGGACTGGTACAAAGTAGGCTGTTGACACCAAAACTGAAGAACTGCAAGATGCCACAGCATTTTTTTTTTGGCTGATATTGTGTAACACCTTGATATGTCGAGAGGATGCACCTGGTTATCTTCTATCAAGTAATCATAATATGGAATGATGGGAATTAGTTTTAAAACAAAGAGCACTTGCAACTACCAAACTAAGAATCATTTAGCAACCTTAATGAAAGCCTAGTTTATATAAAAAACATTTCAAAGCGAATGATTGGGACAGTTTTCTAATTTGTCTGACTAGATGTATGTATGTGTGTTTTTGTGGAGAAAGGGCTGTTACCTCCTTTGTCTAGAGAACAGCAGGAAGAGGATGGGTTATTGCAGCAGCACTCACTGAGATTTTCTCTTCAGGTGCATGTGCGGAGTGCAGGTACGGACAAAAGCCCCCTTTTCACTGCTATGAAATTAACACAGCTCTGTTGTGAAAGATTTGTACTTTTACAGTGCCATCCGAGGCATATGCAGCCAGAAGGTAAGTGTGTTCAGAACTTAAGTATTAGTGGTCATGGTTCTAAGTCACACAAGGTGGCGGTGGGTTGAAGTGATAAAATTAATGGGGAGGAGGCGGCTCTCCTTCGCATCCCCAAGCTGTACAGAAGCCGATCAAAGATGGGGCGGGGGCGCTATGGGGCTGGAAAGGGGCGTCAATCGCGTGCAACAGAAGCGCTACATCCCCCCCCTCCGCCCACGGCTTATTGTATTAGGCTCACCCTCTGCTGGCGGCAGCGGGATGGCGAAAGGAGGGCATTCCACTTTGATGGCGTGCTCGGCGTAGGAGGAGCACTCGCCGCAGTCCTCGTGGAAGTTGTCCCGCGGGGGCGACTCGAGCTCGTCGTCGTCGTCGTCGTCCTGCTCCTCCGCGTCCGCTTCACGCCTGCTGCGAAGCCTCCCGGGCCCGGCGGAAGGGGGCGCGGCCATGGCGGCGGCGGGTTGGTGGCAGCCGTCTCCTCCCGCCACGGGGGTCAGAGGCCGCTCGACGGCAATATGTCCGTCGAGGCCGGCGGCGCCCTGCCGGCAACTGAGGATGCGGTCCATCTCGTCGTAGTACTTGCAGATCTTGCGGGCGTGCCCGTTCTTCTTGAGCCCTTCACGGGCCTGGTAGTACTGGCGCTTGAGGCCCTTGATGCGGATGCGGCACTGCTCCGGGGTGCGCTCGAAGCCCAGCTCGGCCAGGCGGCAGGCCACGTCCCGGTACACATGGCTGTTGCGAAAGTTGCCGTCCAGCGCGCTCTGCACGTCCGCCTCCCCCCAGATTTCGAGCAGCGCCCGCGTCTCCAGGTCGGACCACAGGAAGCCCCGCGTGTTGGTGATCATCCTCCCGCCCGCGGGCCGCAATGGCCGCACCCGGCCGGGAAGGGGCGAGGAGAGGGGGCGGCTGGGCAAACGAAGCGATGGAGGGAAGGCTCGGAGGGGGGAATTAACGTCCGCCTCGCCCCTCAGACACCTCCGTCTCTCTGTCCCCTGTGAGGCGGAGGCGGTTGTGGCGGCGGAGCCCCCAGCGCCTGGCTGGGCTCCCGCGCATCCCTCCTCGCAGCATCCCTCCTCGCCGCATCACACGCCCCCTCCCCTGCCCTCCCCTCTCTTCCCGCCCCCCCCCACAAAACTTTATACCGCCTGGCTGCAAGCGGGGCCCGCCGCTCGCTGCAAGACGCGGGCCTGGCCGTTCAGCCGCGTATGCGGCTGCCGCTCCCTCGCCCCAGGCTGCGGGAGCGCGGCGGCAGCTGCTGCTCTTGGAGGCCCAGCTCGCGGTTCATCGCCTCCTGGAGCGGCGCGTCCAACGGCCAGTGCCCGACTGCGGCGGCGGCGGCGGCGGCACCTCCTCCCAAGCGCGAGCCTGGCGCCGAGGCGGAGCGCCGAGCCGGCCTCCTTTCTCTTCCCCACTCCCCGGCGGGCACAAGTCGGCCCGGCGTCACCGCGCATTGCACTCGCCCCCCTCCCCTTCGTGCGCGCACACCAGTCAAGCGGCAAGTTCACGCACCAGCAGCGGCGCTCGCCCGTCGCCCCTGCGGGTTGCGGGGTGGCGAGGGGGTGGGCCGTGCGAGGCCTCGTCCGCCTCGACATGCTCGAGCAAACGCTGGGATGGCGCCCTGGCGCCCGCACGAGCAGGGGCGCTGAATTTAAGTGGAAGCAGACGAGGCCTTGGTAAACCGGGAAAACGAAGGACTCGTTCAGCAGGACGGGCGCCTCGATCTGCGTTATCAGCAAACCTCCAAGCGTTTGCGGTATGGCCCTCTTTCAGCAGCAGAAGCTACGACAAAAATACCTTCGAAGTATACACGTATTTTGTATACGAGCGAGGCCGCTTGCGCTCTACCCCCCCCCCCGCCAGCCTGCACGGAGCTGTTTAAAGAAGTTACCTCTTACGAAATTTTGTTGGTATTATTTATCATTTATTTCACACCAAACCATACTAAATGAGGCGGGTGAGAACTTATATGACATAAATGACAACTTATGCGGTCCCTTCTTAATGGGATTTCTTCTGAGACCGAACAAACCATCTTGACTTGTATCTGTGAAATGGGCCATTACAAATCTAACCCCAGAGACAGATTTCACATCAACACATGCAATTGTTCTCTAAGTAGCCAATTCACAGATTCAGCTACCCATAACCTTGTGCAAAGAAATCGAGTGACACAAGTCAATAGTTTTGTTGGATTAATTCCAGGGCTGCAACCTGTGGGCATGGGCACAGAAACCTGACCGTATTGGTTGTTAAAATTCTCCATGACTTTACAAAGAACAACCTGCACTATTTTTATAATCCTCTAATTAAAGTGTGTTCCTGCGTCTCTGTGTGTACATAAAGCGATATCACGCTATAATCATTTACTAAGTTTATGACAAGCAGCCAAATCATCTTCTTGGCTCCACATCTGCATACGCTACCTTATGGATTCCCCCTATCTTTTCATATGTTTGTTCTAAAAATCAGACGCACATCTCTATGCAATTATTTGTCGGCTACGCCACACCGTCTGTGCCGACTACTTTCAGGCGCTCTGTCAAAGAAGCAAAGTGAGTGACAACCCGAGAAGACGCAGATTCCATTTCAAGAACACATCTGGCCTGTAGCTGGCTAGAAAGGCCCCGATCCCGCAGAAGGGCATCTACCTGTTCCGCACTGCAGCCAGACCATAATAGCTCCTGAAGCCAGTGCTACGATCGCACAAGTGCCTCTTCCCCAAACCATCCCTGCGAAAGGAGCCAGCTCACCGGGGCCCTGTTCGCCCAAGCAGCACGCACGCCGAGTTGCACGCTGCCCCTCTTCTTACCTAGCAGCCAAGCGGGGCTTCCGCCAGCTCTTGCCAAGCACACGGGCAAGCGGCTGCACCAAAGCATCAGTGCCGCTTCCGGGTCCAGGACGCAGCCACGGCGAAGGGAGCGCGCAGGCCGCCCTCTCCGCCCCCTCTCGCTGTAAGAGAGCCTCCTAGCGGGAGCCAATCCTCACTCCTTTCTGCGCTGATTGACATTCCAGAAAAGAAAAAAGGGGGGCGGGCCAAATGCTGGCACATGTTCGGGCCTCTTTCATCTCGAACTGAAAGGAGCATGGGAATTTCTTTGGAAAGAAGTTGTCGCTCAAGCCTGCTTACTCTGTCCCTGCTTCCAAGCAAACAGCTATTCTGTTGCAATACCTTTTTAGTGGACAAACCCTGTGGGTCAAGAAGAAATTGAGTTTTCATATACACACGTTTTACATTTCCTGACGCTAATGTTATTTAGTTGACGTCTGTCCTGTTTATTTCAGTGGCATTTCATTTCAAGTTGTTATTGTTTGGACCTATAATCTTAATCTATGTCAGAGTTAATCCCAGGAACGCGAAGAATCTGTTTTTAATAACAGCTCTGTCTAGATCAGATGACACGTGTTTAACTACTTTGACTATGCTCCAGTGAAGAATTAGGCTCAGCAATACGCATCATGCGCATGACTTGGAGGAAGCTGAAAAGGAACCTGGAACACTTGAAAAACCCAATACACTTTGTTTTCCATCTTCCAGGCACTATTTGAGGAAAAATCTTCATAGATTTTCCTTCCAGTTTATACTGAAAATTAGCACAATTGCCTTTCAGGTGTTCACTTTGTTGTTGTTAGTTGTGAAGTCATGTCTGACCCACCGCAACCCCATGGACAACATTCCTCCAGGCCTTCTTGTCCTCCACCATCCCCTGGAGTTCACTTAAGCTCACGCCCCATCTAGCCACCTCACCCTCTGCATCTCTTTCTTTTGCCATCTTGTTCCCAGCATTAGGCTCTTCTCCAGGGAGTCCTTCCTTATCATTAGGTGGCCAAAGTATTTGAGTTTCATCTTCAGTATCTGGCCTTCTAAAGAGCAGTCAGTATGCTTTTATTATAACAAATATGAGAATTTAAAGAATAATCTTACTTGGTGATAGTGCTGCATCTTGGTAATTTTACCCCATATGATTTAATTTAAGGTTCAGGAGCTTCAGGTGGTTGGGTGTGTTCAACTGGGAAGTGCATATTTTTCTTTCCAGTTCCTTCATTTTATTTATTAGATTTATATCTAATAAATCTAATAAATCTTGCCTTTTTCAATTTAAAGAACTAATTTTGTGCTTTACAACAGTTAAAGCAAGACATAAGCCTGTTTGCCAGCTCTAATGATTGTAAAAACAAATAATGAACATGTGTAGTTTTGCGTTTTAAATTCAATTCAATCATAATACCCTAGTGACTGCAGGAATAAATGCTGTATGCTTTTTTTGTCATAACGCTAAATGCATTTACTCAGGAATAAAAACAATTTTGTTGTTAAAAGAGAGAAAATATTTAAAAATCCAAAATAATGAGCATGTGTAACCATATGCGATATTGGTACAGTGCAAAGGTGTGGGACTAAGAAAGAGCAGGGGCTGAAGAGGCAGGAGCTGCTGTTACCAATAAGGTGCTTGCTGACATGGTATAATTCCTAGGTATAATTTCTACATGTTTATGTTGGAGGGCTGTATCTGCATAGTGAATTCATGTGTATACAACTGCATTTCCATTTTATTCCGGGGTTTTTTTAAGATTCTGCGCATGGAGATGACTCTTCTTTGGATACTCAGACCAGTCGAAGAGGACATTCTGAATTCTTTTGTTGGAGTTTGGGTTCAAAAGGACACTTGAACTTTGCAGCTCTAGAGCCAGTTTTTTAATTGCTGCTGTTGCCAGGGTCTTGGGTGCATGGGTTGTAGTATTTTGTTATCGTTATAATTGTTTGTAATGTTTTGTTATATAATTATTGATAAAAAGAGGTTCATTTTGTATGTAAGGTTGTGTTGCAATGTTCATTAGTAAGCAAATAACCCCATAGAACTTACCAGTGTTATAAATGCACAGCTGGCCATCCTGTAATGCTATTCGTACTAGAAGAAGTTTGCTGCAATGGCCAGTTTGAGCACTGGTGGGCATAGCTGCAGCTGCCCATTTTCACCAGTCACTAGCTGGATGGTCAGATGTGGGGCTTGCACTGAACCCCAGGTTCTGAGCCCCAAAGTCCACTCTTTCTTTTACTACTGGTCAGTGACAATCCATATATCTTTTCAGTCTGGATCTGTCCACCATAATACTGATGGATTTAGAATTTGCTAATGTTGATTAAATGATAGGAAATAGACTGAACCTAATTCCTCCACTTTTATGAAGAAATTTTAAAGACCACTTTTCCTTCCAGAAGTGTTCATTGTGCTTATTAAATTATAACAGTTAAGAGCCCCTTCACTCCCACACACCTTCACTGAAGTTCTGAAATATTTTTATTTAATTGCATAACCAGTTTAAACCAAACAGCTAATCCATTTAACATACTGTGGAAAGGAACATTTGCATCTTTAGATAATACTCTGTATCTCCCAGCATTCCCCATTCAGAACAGCTGGCCAGAGGATGCTGGGAATTGTAGGACCTTTTGTTGTCTCAGCATGCCTAGAATTGTTCCTTAAGCAGCACAAAAACTGGAGGGAGCTAGAAAATAGTATGTATTATGGTAAGTGCTGATGGGTAGAATACCACATCTAGGGATGCAAGCACTAACACTATTCCAAGAGGCTTTCTAAATGTGACAGAGCAGTAGGGTAAGGAAGAAACAAATACAGGTTCATGTTTGATGCAGGGTATTTGTGACTGGTTCCCTGGCAGCATATCTACTCACGAGAAGTCACCCGCAGGCAGCAGTTCTAGAAAAACTCTGAAGATGCCAGGTACAATATCAGCTACAACACAGCCACAGAGATCACAGGAATGTGATCTCGCTTACTCCTAAGTTGCCTTTATCAGCCATGGAGAGCATAACTCTGTGAAAGTAACAACAGAAACAACATAGAAACAGAGCGAGTGAGAAGGGGTCTCCCAGGCCATCTAGTCTGACCTCTGGCACCAGCCGGCTCCACTCACAATTCTGGGATATCATCACATAAGTGTACCAGATAAAGTAAGTCTTCTGAGAAGAACACAGCACTAAATCAGAAAACAATGCAGGCACGAGCCATGCCTTCTGAATAATTTATACAGAAATAGCTAAGGCCATGGTCCTGAGCAAG